ATTTTATTTATTTATTTGAGAGAGAATGAGAGATAGAGAGCATGAGAGGGAAGAGGGTCAGAGGGAGAAACAGACTCCCTGCTGAGCAGGGAGCCCGACAGTGGGACTCGATCTCGGGACTCCAGGATCATGACCTGAGCCAAAGGCAGTTGCCCAACCAACTGAGCCACCCAGGCGCCCTCAGGTGCCTTTCCTAAATTGCAGTTTTTAATATTTTCCTAGTTAAAAGATTGATTTATTTTTACACAGTGGCCAGTATGAATTTGAGTTTAGAATGAAGATGCTTACAATGGAGTTTTTGCTCTTACTGATTTTCCCACACATCTTTAATTCTTCCTATTTTTGCCCTCTCCAGGTACTACGTGTACATTGTCTTCTCAAAACTCAATCTGACAAGCTATTTATTGAGTTTGAAATGTGCTTTAACTCCATAGGGCCAGGCAAATTCTAGCAAACCAGATTTTTTTCCCCCATCAGATTTGCTCTAAATCCCTGTCTTTTGAATTAACCCCTATACATTTAGGCCAGTTAACAGGATAGCTACATTAAAAATGTTTTTGCTTGTGACTTTGACTGTATTTCTTGGTGGCATGTATGTGAGTATAAGATGTTTTTCTGAATTTTTTAAGGTTCTTAAGTGGTAGCAGAGATGGAACGGCACGGATTTGGAGATTTGAGCAGTTGGAGTGGAGAAGCATTTTATTGGATATGGCAACCCGAGTCTCAGGGTGAGTGGAGACGGTTTGTTGGAATCAGGTGGCTTCATAATCACTTGGTCCTTCTACCTGGTGGTTGGAGCCCCCAGGTCCTATGGTGAAGAGCAGTGACCTAAATGAATGGCTACTTCCTGTATATCTGATACATAGATAAATAAATCTCCTATATCCCAAAGAATTTGTACATTTATGTTTCTAGTACACTTGCCTGGTCTAGGGTAGTGCCATATCAAAATTCTTACCAGTTTTTCCTGAAATGTTTCACATTTTGTCCTTTGGAAATCCTCATGTCTGCTTTATTTTTAATAATTTTAGGGGAAATTAAGTCCTCTGCTATGGCTCAGACAGTTTTATTTGGCTTCAAAATAACATTTGATATTCACATTTTTGTGAAATGATCTGTGGTAGGGAATGGAGAAAATGTTTACTGGAAATCTGATAGTCCTTGCTCATAAACAAATCACATCTCTGCCATTACTTAAAAATGTTCTATCTGGATATTCAGAAGCATCTTTGTGTGAGTGAATACTGTCCTTGATTGGTTGAAATACTGAAGGTTATTTCATTATTAAGAAACAAATTGAAATTACATTTACCTTTTAACAATGATTTTAAGCAAAATAGGAACATCAGTGTAAAAACTTTAATACAAAAATTTTTACTGAGGGGCGCCTGGGTGGCTCAGTCGTTACGCGTCTGCCTTCGGCTTGGGTCATGATCCCAGGGTCCTGGGATTAAGCCCCACATCAGGCTCTCTGCTCCACGGGAAGCCTGCTTCTCCCTCTCCCACTCCCCCTGCTTGTGTTCACTCTTTCTCTGTGTCTCTCTCTGTTAAATAAATAAATTTTTAAATTTTTTTTTTTTTTTTTTTACTGAGACTGGAAACTGCTCCGTTTTCTTCCTGCCGTGGAGAGTGCTCTGCCAGTAATTCCTTCCAATGGTGGGAATATTCTTTTTTCATTTAAAGTTTTACATCTTTCCAATCTTGAGAAGCAGAGTTTTTTCTGTATATAAGAATTAATGGGTATATTTGTTCTAGTGTTCTAATCCTGGGTGATCAACTTGATGAAGTACAATATGTCTATTGCTTCAAGGTTACTAACAGGTGATGCCTTTTAGTTTAAAGTGAAGCATGGAGTCTTAGCCTTTACTCCATTTTGCCTCTTCTGTTACACTTTTCCCTGACCAATCTGGTTAGAATTACTCTCTTGTGTGTGTTCCATTGTGCTTATATAGATAGGTGTTACATGGCACTTCTTCCATATTCTTACAGCTGTTTTCTTTAATTGAAATATATGTTTATTATATGTTTATAATTTCTTAGGGTGTATTCTCTGATTTCAAAAAGCAGCTGGGCTTTACCTTTTCTCTGTGTATATACTGACTACTATGTTTTACAGAGAAACTTTGTATTTCAGGCTGCAAAATATTGTAGACCTTGTATCCAAGGCCATTCTTGTCAAGAGAACCATAGTAACCATCTATAGGGAAGTGTAAAGAGATGAGTACAGTTTTACTTGTAGTTCAAAAGATGAATATCTGTGTGTCAGGCACCTTTCTAGACACTGGGGGCTGTGCAGATGCATTGCCTTCTTTCTCTCTTCCTAAAATTTCTTGTATCTTCTCTGGAGAAAGAAACAACAAAATTATTGCTGTTAGGGCTTAGGGTCGGGGGAAGGGAATAATAGAAAAGGGGTAGAGAGAAAAAGCTTTGCTTTTATGAGCAGTGGTGATGTCCTAACATGCCTTTATTCATACTGAACTGTTTCTTTGTCACCACGAGCAGGAGGAGGGGCGAAGGGAGAGGAAGAGAGAATCTTAAGCAGACTTCATGCCCAGTGTCTGACTTGGGGCTCAGTCCCAGGACCCTGAGATCATGACCTGAGCTGAAATGAACAGTCCGATGCTTAACCAACTAAGCCATCCAGGCGCCCCTGAACTGTTTGTTTCTTTTTTTTTAAAGATTTTGTTTTATTTATTTGTCAGAGAGAGAGAGAGAGCACACTTGAGCAGGCAGAGGGAGAAGTAGGCTCCCCGCCAAGCAAGGAGCCTGATGCGGGGCTCCATCCCAGGACCCTGGGATCGACCTGAACTGAAGGCAGACGCTTAACCGACTAAGCCACCCAGGCATCCCCCCTGAACTAGAATCATCCCCTCCCCATCTCAGTTTTGCTGTACTCTGTTTATAGATCATCTGTTATGGGTCAGATGTATATTAGATATATAATGTATGGACATTAACTGCATTACTTCAATTAATTTTGTATTGATTGTACTTTTCAAATGAATTTACACATTGTGTATGTTTTTCTTAGGGACTTATCTTTGGAAGAGGAAAGGTTTATGAAACCCAAAGTCACAATGATCGCTTGGAATCAGAATGATAGCATTGTTGTCACAGCTGTGAATGATCATGTCCTTAAAGTGTGGAATTCTTACACAGGGCAACTGCTTCATAACTTACTGGTAGGTTGTTTTTATATAACAAATCAAGAATTTTTTTGAACTATAATTTGATTTTTGAAGCTATAATATTAACATATTAAAGGTTTCACCCACTGATTATCAAATGAGTAGAAATTTGTAGATACACTAATGTTCAAGCCACTGTTAATACATTTTTAAAAGCCTTTATACACTATGACAATATGGGTTTTTCATTTTAAACTTAATAACTTGCAAACCTTCGTTAACTTTATGACTTTGTTGAATAAAGGGACATGCTGATGAAGTATTTGTTTTGGAGACACATCCCTTTGATTCCAGAATTATGTTATCTGCAGGACATGATGGCAGCATATTTATATGGGATATTACAAAAGGCACCAAGATGAAACATTATTTTAATATGGTAAGTGAAGTGTATCTTCATGTATGCTTGCATTGGTTTCAAGTATTTGGATTAGAAGTTTAGCCAGACACCAATCTGCATGTTTTGGCAGTTTATATTTCTAGAAATCAGGATGCTTAAAGCCTAATAAATATCTGACAGCCATACATATATACAGTCATGAAATTCTCTGTCTAACTGAGTCATCCAAGGGAAGGAGTTTCAAAAGTTACTTATTTAGCCCTCTGTGTATATGCAAATGTGTTTGAATTTGTTTAAATTTGCAAAATTATGGTAATTATACACATTTTCACTAAATTTATTGAAATATTTGGTAATAAAACAATATTCAGTAAAGTCATCTAGGGAATTAAAAACATCATTGGGTTTTTCCAGCCTATTTTTTTTTTTTGCACATGTAATATCCTAAAACCAAATTAGGATCCTGTTGCAAATTTTTAGAATTTCTCATGTATAACCACAAGCTAGTTACCAAAGTCAGCAAATTTAACATTGATAAAGTAGCATTATGTAGTTCTGCTCTATATTCAAATTTTGTCGGTTGTCCTAGTAATGTCTTCTTAGTTATATTTGGTACTTGGAGCAGTATTTAATTCAGGATCATTCATTATGTTAAGTGACTGTATATTTTAGGTTTCTGTAATCCTCAACGATTCTTTTTTTCTATTTGTCACCTTTTAACTTTTGATGAGTGCAGACAAATAATGTTACAGAATATTTGTGTTTTGTCTGCTGTTTTTTCATGATTTGATTCTGTTACACCTTTTTTTGGTGGTGATTTTTATTTTTTTAGATTTTTTTTTAATTTCTTTATTTTGAGAGAGAGCACACATGAGAGGGGGCAGGGTCAGAGGGAGAAGCAGACTCCCTGCTGAGCAGGGAGCCCGATGTGGGGGCTCAATCCCAGGACTCCAGGATCATGACCTGAGCCGAAGGCAGTCGTTTAACCAACTGAGCCACCCATGCGCCCCTATTTTTATTTTTTATAACCTTATTTGTTTTTAGAGAGAGCAAGAACTCTCAAGTGTGTGAGTAGTGTGGGGAGGGGCAGAGGGAGAGAGAGAATCCCAGGCAGGTTGCATGCCCAGTGCAGAGCTGGACGCAGGGCTGGATCTCAGGACCCTGAGATCATGATCTGAGCTGAAATCAAGAGTTTGACACTTAACTGACTGAGCCACCCAGAGTGCCCTGGTGGTGGTAATTTTAAATTTTGGAAAGGTGGCATTTGCCAGGTTTCCCCACAATGAAATAGTTGTTTTTCCTCTTTGTAACTTTTTCCCCCCCCTCTTTGTAACTATTAAGCTAATTTTTTCAGGAGGTATTTTGAGACTCTAAATACCCTGTTCCTCATTACACTTTCACTCACAAACAGTAGCATCCATTGAAGGTTTTTAGTGGCATCATTCTTTCCATAGTTACTACTTGGCATTCTCGCACAGTTTTTGTAATCCTTGTTTCATTTTATGTAAAGAATGTTTTCCAAAATCTTACATATATTTTTAAGAATTTGCAGTTATATTTTTGACTGTAAATTCAGCCTTTCTCTAAGTTAACTATATATGTCATCTTGTGAGTTGTTGAGTATTTAAGTGGTTTCTGAATCAGGCACGGCAGCACCATTTCGGATATCCAGGTACATGACTGTTTATGTAGATCTGTGATTATTTCCTTAGGGTCAATTCTAAGGGGGTTATTGTATAAAAGAGTTTCTGTGTTGTCAGGACTATCGTTTGATCTACATATGAGATGTTTTGTAAAATTACTGTACGGTTTATATTGAGTTCCAGTTCATAGTGTAATTCATTTTGGAGGCAGTCTAGTCGCAGGGTATAGATGAATGGTTCTTAGACCTTTATAATGAAGGCCATCTGAGTCCATGTGTTTGGTTTTTTTTTTTAACCTTAAAATTTTTATTTCAGTATGCTTATTTTGGACAATTCTTGACAAACAGGTTAAAATGCAGTATTTTATTTATTACCATAAAATGCACTGAAATAACTCAAATAACATGGCCGAATTGCACATGTGTAATTAGGCATCTCTGGAAGTTGCATCTCTGGGTTCAAATTATTGGAAAAATAAGTCTTTTTTAGCAATTTTTTTGTGGTCTTAAAATTTATAGGTATCTCCATCTTCTTCATTATCCTTTAAAACTCTTTAAGGACATTACATCCTGAATTTAACTATCAAAACAGAAAACTACATTAATTAAGGCTTTAAGCAGAAAATAAGCTAAACAGCTTCTGAGCCAAAGAAGTCTCAAGTGGGCAACAATGATCTTACTTCCAGTGAGACGTACAAACTTCGCTATGTATACTGGGTTCTTCTTTTATTTTTTTAAAAATTTATTTGTTTTACAGAGAGAGCATGTGTGTGCATGCAAGCGGGGTCGGGGCGGGGAGGCAGAGGGAGAGGGAGAAATCTCAAGCAGACTCTCCGCTGAGTGCGGAGCCTGATGCGGGGCTCAATCTCACGACCCTGAGATTGTGACCTGAGCCAAACTCAAGAGTTGGATGCTCAGCTGACTGAGCCACCCGGGCGCTCCTAGACTGAGTTCTTAACCTTTACTGCTCAGCTGAGAGGCTCCCAATTTTCTGTTAGACAGATTACATAGGGTAATAAATTACTAACATTACAGTATTTCATTAAATACGTCATAATTTTCAATGTGACATCGAATTGTTCTCCAAGCACAGTTGCAGATTGCATTTTGTCAGGAATCATTGTGGAGGACTCTTCAAACTGCAGGTAGAAACCCAAGCGGCTTGCTATGTGAGTGCCTACTCAGGAAAATTTCCTTTTCTCCAGGTACCTTAGCAGCACTTTTGGTGCACTTAGGTCCACGTGTATGACAGGAGGGGAGCTGCCACCATCTTTGACTTGCCAGCCAAGGGCCTGGCCCCCGCCTCTGCTTTACTTGGACTGGAGGTTCTAGGCCTGGGGTGCAAAGTGGTTCCAGGGCATGGGTCGGACTATAGTGGAGATGGCTCCTCAAAGGACTGTGTGGGTGAATCTGTGTTCCTATGTTTCAACAAGAAATTGGAAGAAAGATATTTATACAGTTTATGTTATTAGAGAATACAATATTTATATACATATTATGTGTACACATAATAGGGCAGTGCCTTAAATATCCCAGTAACTTAATTTTTAAGTTTGTTAATCGGTACCCACTTGTTTGTGGTATAGAGTAGTGAAGTGTTGCTTTCCAAGCAGATATTTCGGCATGGTGTGAGTTTGTTTTGGCAGTTAGTGAGTGGAGGATTCATTCTCCAGCACTGATCAAACTTGCCCTAAAGTTTAGTTATTGGAAAGTTACAGGCTCAGACAACAAATACGCATAACTTTAAGCTGTTAATGAAACAACTAATTGATAAATTGGTAGTGCTAAACTAATATAATTTCAGTTGAAGAGCAAGAATAAAGTTGAAAAGCACTCTATTTAAGGCAACATTCATGATGTAATTGGAGCGTCCTTATTGAAATTTGCGGTAGTTTGCAATAAGGTAGATGCAGGCATTTCTGTGCGCACCGATGTGACTTGGCAGCATTCCACTTTTGCGTGGTGGTCAGTCATCTTTGTGGAAAGCTTAAATTCTAGAAAAGTACTGATTTTAGTTCGTGAATACCAGACTTTGTTGATCTTTAATCATTTATCTTGTGGGTTGTTAGTCAATAGCCTTTTGCTATACATTAAAACAAAAGTTTATGAAATTGTCATTCACTTCTAAGAAGTAAAGGAAGCCTTTACTTTGGATTGACTTATGATCTTTCATTCTATGATTCTGAGAACTCATTCTTAGAATACCTTTCAAGATTTTTTTCTAGGCTAGTGGTATCTGAAATGAATTTTATTTTCTGAAAATATGTGCTTAATGCAGAATTTATTTTTAAATATTTTCTTTCAGAAGTGATATATTTGGGGGTGCCTGCGTGCCTCAGTTGGTTAAGCGTCTGACTCTTGATCTCAGCTCAGGTCTAGATCTCAGGGTCATGAGATCAAGCCCCTCACTGAACTCATTGAAAAAAAAAAAGTGATATTTATAGCAGGCAGTTGACATGAAAACAGTTGATAAAGCAAAAGCAGTCGTGTAGAATTGGCTATAACTTTTTCCCTCTTTCCTAGATTGAAGGGCAAGGACATGGAGCGGTCTTTGACTGTAAGTTTTCACAGGATGGACAGCATTTTGCCTGTACAGATTCTCATGGACACCTTCTGATATTTGGTTTTGGATGCAGCAAGCCATATGAAAAGGTCTTTTTTTTTTTTTTTTGGTAACATTTTAACCACTTTTAAAAAACTTTAATTCCAGTGTAGTTAACATACAGTAGCTTCAGGTGTACAATATAGAGATTCAACAATTCTGTATATTACTCAGTGCTCATCAAAATAAGTGTACTCTTAATCCCATTCATCTGTTTTACCCATCTCCCTGCCCACCTCCCCTCTGGTAACCATCTATTCTCTATATTAAGAGTCTGTTTTTTGGTTTGTCTTGAAAAGGTCATTCTTAATACTTTTTTACAGTAGTAAAATAAGTAGTTATGAAGGGTGTTTTGGAAATAGGTGTATTGATTTGGTTTCCTTGTTTTTTTTTTTCAAATTATAAATAACTTTAATATTTGTATTCTTTAACATGTATAAACCTCAAAATGTCAATCTGTGAACTTTTTTTTCAGATTCCTGATCAGATGTTCTTCCATACTGACTATCGACCACTGATTAGGGATTCTAATAATTATGTCTTAGATGAGCAAACTCAGCAAGCTCCTCACCTTATGCCTCCACCATTCTTGGTAGATGTAGATGGAAATCCTCATCCAACTAAGTATCAGAGATTAGTACCAGGTCGAGAAAATTCTGCAGATGAACACTTGGTTCCACAGCTAGGCTATGTGGCAACAAGTAAGTGCAGTCTTTTTTTTTTTTTCTTTCACTTTTTATATGAAAAATGTAAAAAATAATATGCAGAACTCACATACTTTTAGATTTACCAGTTAATAGTTTGTAATACTTGTTTTATCATTCTATTTCTACATACATGTAATTGTTTTTAACCATTTGAGAGATAAGTTCTCAACCACATGTTCATTTATCCCTAAATATTCAATATGTGTTTTCTAAGAACAAAGGTATTCTCTTATGTAGCCATAAACAATTATCAAAAGTAGGACATTTAACACTGATGTAATACTGTTATTAAGGCTATGGTCTAATAAAATTTTGTCTGTTATTCTGATGCCTGTTAAAACTTTTATTGTTCTACTCTGATGTGGATCTCAGTTTGGGACTGCACATTAAATTTAGCTGTCCTTGGTGAAGTTCAGGTTGTGCTTTTTTTTTTTTTTTCTAAGTTTTATTTATTTTTAAGTAATCTCTACACCTAGTGTGGGGCTCAAACTCATGACCCCAAGATGAAGAATCACATGCTCTTCCGACTGAGCCAGTGAGGCACCCCCCGGTTGTACATTTTTTGATAGAATACAGTATAAATGATGATGGAGTGTTCCTGGAGCATCATGTCAGGGTGCTTATGATTGTGCTTTGTCCAAATACTGGTGATGTTTTCTTTGAAAACTTGGTTAAGGTGGTGCCTGCCAAGTTTTCCACTACAAAGTTATTTTTCTCTTAGTAAGAAATTTGTGGGGAGATATGATGTAAATAACCTGTTCCTTACCAAACTTTACCTATAAGTTTTAGGATCCATTGATGATTTTTGCCTGAATCAGTTGTTCTGAAGGTTGTAAAATGGTTGTTTTCTAACTTTATGGTCATTGCATCTGCATTTTATTAGTCTGCCTTTTATATGTTTATGTAGTTCCTTAAGTGTTAATATGGACTTAAGGGTTGTTATATAGTGGGTTATAATCGATAATGGTCATTATTTTGTTGCTTATATTATTTTTAGATTTGAGTTTGAGAGTCTCTTCAGGCTGCGTGTTCCCTTTCCTGAGTCCCTTGAACACTTCCTTAACTTTCTGGCGCAAGATGTTTGAGTCCCGTCTTGTACTTTGCCTGGCCTAGTCAAGGGCAGAATTTTTGTTTTGTTCTGTTTTTTTGTATTTGTCACCAGCAGTGTAGTGTTTCTCCATGCAGATGTTATTAAGCAAAGAAAAAAATGCTTCTTTTTTGTTTGGATGAGGTTTGTTTTACTAAAAGTTGATCACCAATTATCACTGTATGTTTACTGTTTCAGGTGTTTATTTTTTATTACTTTAATTGAAGTGTAGTACATAACAACAAAATTCACCAATTTTAAGTGTACAAGTCAAATGAGTTTGGGAAATGTTAAACAATCAGGTAACTGCTACCACAAGCAAGGTATAGAATGTTTCCAGTGTCCTCAAAAGTTCTGTTGGGCTTCTTAAATTAATTAATTTTTATTTAAATTCAATTCATTAACATATAAAGTATTATAAGTTTCAGAGATAGAGGTCAGTGATTCATCAGTCTTACATATTAACAGCCAGTGCTCTTTACATCACGTGCCCTCCTTAATGTCCATCACCCAGGTACCTCCCCCCTCCCCCACCCCCAGCAACCTTCAGTTTGTTTCCTATGATTTAGAGTCCCTTATGGTTTGTCTCCCTCTCTGATTTCATCTTGTTTTATTTTTTCCTCTCTTCCCCTATGACCCTCTGTTTTGTTTCTTATATTCCATATGTGAGTGAGATCATATGTTAATTGTCTTTCTCTGACTTATTTAGCTTAGCATAATACCCTCTAGCTCCATCCATGTCCTTGCAAATGGCAAGATTTCATGTTTTTTTGTTGTTGTTGTTGGCTGCATAATCCATTTTGTGTGTGTGTGTGTGTGTGTGTGTGTGTACACCACATCTTCTTTATCCATTCATCTGTTGATGGACATCTGGGCTCTTTCCATAGTTTGGCTATTGTGGACATTGCTGCCATAAACATTGGGGTGCAGGTTCTTTTGGGCCTTTTTGGAATCTTCTCCTGGTCTATGCATACTTCCCAATTCTAAAACTCAGAACAGTTAAAAATGTGTGTTTAAGGCAATGAAGAATACGATGACTCTTTATCCTTTAACAGTATTGACTTCCATTTTGTCACTTTTATTTTGTCTTTTTGAGGAATTTTGTATAAATGGAATTGTACAATACTAAATCTTCTGTGTCTGGCTTCTTAGCATGGTGCTTTTGAGATTCATTTTTGTTGTTGCACAGATCAGTTGTTTGTTCCTGTTGATAGTGTACCATAGTATGTGTATACCCTCATTTATTCATTCAGTAACAACTGAAGGACAGTTGGCTTTTTTCCATTTTGGGGTTATTATAAGGCGTGCTGAAATATCAGATTACCATGTGGGCTTATCTTATGTCCTTTGGTTCTATAGTTTTGCTTTATGAATTTTAAAGTTCTGTTATTAGGTTCAGACACATTTCAGATTGTCCTCTGGGTGAATTCTTTTATCATTATGAATTGTTCCTTTTTTCCTTGGTAGTATTTCTTCTTTTGAAGACTTTTTCTTTGTTTCATATTAATATGCTAATCGAGCCAATTTTGATGAGTATTGTCATGGTGTATCTTTTCAGGTTTTACAACCAGTTTGTGTCTTTATATTAAAAACGGATTTCGTGTAGGCACCAATCCAATCTGACAACCTGTCTGTTAATTGGAAAATGTGGACCATTTACATTTAAATAAAATTATTAGAATTGTCAGGGTAAATTCTCTACCATTTTGCTATTTTTTTCTCTTTATCCTTTCTGTTCTTTGTGCCTTTTCTTTTTTTCCTCCCTTGTTTGAAAATGATTACCTTTTAGTATTTCATATTGTCTCCACTAATGTCTTAACTAACAATACCTGTTCATCTTATTTATTTCTAATGTTTATTTCTCATGGTTCTAAAGGTAGGACAGGAATTATCTGTGTGGTTTGCAGACCTGTGGTTTTATCCTTTACCTTTTTTATGGGGTCTTTAAGGTCACAACTGTTTTCATAATAATATGGAAATATTATTTACTTTTTTTTTTTTTTTTAAAGATTTTATTTATTTGACAGAGAGAGACACAGTGAGAGAGGGAACACAAGCAGGGGGAGTGGGAGAGGGAGAAGCAGGCTTCCCGCTGAGCAGGGAGCCTGATGCGGGGCTCGATCCCGGGACCCTGAGACCATGACCTGAGCCGAAGGCAGACGCTTAACGACTGAGCCACCCAGGCGCCCTGTTACTTTTTTTAATAGTGTTGACAGTTGCCCTGATGACACAGAAGCAATGGTGGGTAAAGCTTCTGACACCACACCACTAAGAGTCATTGTATTCTTTATTGCCTTAAACACACATTTTTAACTGTTCTGAGTTTTAGAATTAGAAGTATGTGTAAAACAGTTCTGTATATTCTGAAGTTTTTGTGTTCTGGCTGGTGGGAACATGGACTATTTCCGGGTCTGTGAGAGCTCTGGGAATTTTTGGGGTATTGCCTTTTCATGTTCCCTCCCCCCAGTACGGTAGAGTTTTACCCAGTGTGTGCATATATAATTATTTAGTTAAATAATCAGTTCAACCTCAGTGTATATCTCTGAGCTTTCTGTGCAATTCAGTCTTCTCTGATGTTCAGTCCTGCATGTTTTAGTCTTCACCTCTGCTCCCAGACTCTGACCTCTGTCTCCTCAACTTACTGAGACCTCTGGATGCTGTCTGGGTTTCCTGTCCTTGTTCTGCAGCCTGGAAGCTGCCTCCAGGCTGTTACCTGGACCGGTCAGAGGGCTAGACTCCATTGTTGATTTTCTCTCAGGGATCGCGGTCCCGTGTATCTCTTGTCCAGTGTCTGAAAACTGGGCTTATATACATATGTACATACCTGTGTGTGTGTGTGTGTACATATATATGTGTGTTTTTTTTCCAGGATTTTAGTACTTTATGGTGGGAGGGCAGTTCCTGTAGCACTTAGCACTTTCTAAAGATTCCATCTATTTGAGAGAGAGCACAAGCAGGGGGGAGCGGCAGGCAGAGGGAGCAAGGAGCCCCACACGGGGCTCGATCCCAGGACCCTGGGATCATGACCTGAGCCGAAGGCAGACATTTAACTGACTGAGCCACCCAGGCGCCCCTATTTCATTTTATTTTTAAGATTTTATTTGGGGGGGGAGAGCGAGCACGCCTGTGCACGAGTGGGGCGGGTGGGAGAGGGAGAAGCAGACTTCCCACTGAGCAGGAAGCCTGATCCCAGAATCCTGAGATCATGACCTGAGCCAGAGGCAGATACTTAACCAACTGAACTACCCAGTATAGAACCCTACTTTAATATTTCAGTATTTGAATAGCATTATGCCAATTAGAAACAGTTACCGTTCTGATACTTGCCGCATTCCATTTAAGTGTTCTGTGCTGTGAATGAAAAGTTCTATAGACCTTGGGTTTTTGCAGAGAGGGGGAGAGGACTAGAAGTCTCCTTTTCTACTGTTTTCCCTTTGGTTCCAAGCTGTAGTCTTAGGAATCTTTTGTTATTCCCAGTTCTAATTAAAACCTTTTTAACATTTTAGATTAGGGCTCCTCTTTTTGCTTTCTTAGCTCATTATTTGAAAATAAAAAAAAATTTAGTGATTTTAAGATAGTCTCAGCTATGACATTTAGTTCTTGTAAGTTCTTCATTGATTTGCATGGTAAAATGGAGATGTTATCAGTGAGATATAAGGGAATTTAACTCAGATAGTAGGATGCAAATATTTTTTCTCCTGAAGTAGTACGTGACATTTTTTAGTTTCTGGATCTGTTACTATGGAGGCTAGGTTATATTTTTGCATTCTTTTTTCTAATACCCTATTCATTTCAATCTGTGGGGGTTCTTACAAGTTGCTGGGTGTTTGGTCTGTGTTATATGTTAGGTTCAAAGAAGATGCATTTTATGTGGGACAATATGTAAGGAATTGTTTGCATGAAAAAGTTAGTGTTTAGATAATTTTTCAGACCCCACAACCATCTAACACTTTTTATCCATTAATATTAACTAAACCTGTGATTTCAAAAACAAAGAAGCAAAGGCACTTTTAAAAAATCTGATTTTTGTACTTGAAGAGAAGCATACCTAAGAGATAGAGTAACTTAAGCTTAGTGGGAAGAGGCATGTGTAGCTATCTCCAGCGGCACCTGCTCTCAGGACACTTGGGCTGGGAGAGCTTTAGTTTGTTGAAGCGTATTACTCTTTCTTTTTTATTTTTTAAGAGAGTAGAGGAGAAATGCCACTGCTTTTCTCTACATGAGAAATCCTACATTGTCGCTGTGGTCTTGCCAGAGACCTTGGGAAATAAGAGTTTAATGAAATCTATCTTATGTGAGGCAAGGGGAGTGTTAGTGTGAAACAGCAAAATAAAGCTTCCACTGAAACTTCCACAGGTTTCCATGTGCTCACCTCAGGGGTTTCAGAGGCTCTCTTGAGGTTTTTGTGGTGTTTGGTATAAAGGAAGGGTTTCATTTGTTTGGAATCTTTTCTCTGATCCAGTTAGTTATGAATATATAGGATATTTTTAATTCTTTTTTTTTAAATTTTTTTAACGCTTTTATTTATTTATTAGAGAGTGCATGCGGGTGCATGAGCAGAGGGGAGAGGGAGAAGCAGGCTACCTGCTGAGCTGGGAACCTGATGTGGGCCTCGATTCCAGGACCCCGGGATCAGGACCTGAGCCGAAGGCAGATGCTCAACCGACTGAGCCACCCAGGCGCCTCAATTGCTTATTTTTTTAAAAGAAATCTGATAACTGCTAATATAATTTTAATTGTGGTCTTCTGAAAGTTTGTTTTTCTGTTCATGTTTATTATGATTTTGTGTTATGGTTGTGAATTTACAGGTGATGGAGAGGTGATTGAACAAATTATAAGCCTACAAACCAATGATAGTGGTGAACGAAGCCCAGAATCCAGTGTTCTTGATGGAATGATAAGACAGTTGCAGCAGCAGCAGGATCAGAGAATGGGAGCAGATCAGGATACTGTTCCAAGTGGACTTCCAAGTGGAGAAGAAACACCCCGAAGAGGTAAAATATATGAGAAATAATTTTGTCTTATTATGGCTGAAATTGAAGAGTAAATGAAGTCATTTTCAGGTACATGCAATGTGAAAAATTTTAAGTGTATTTTATAACTTTAGTAGTCTGAGAGTAACTTCATTAGGTGTGAAGTTGATGTACTAGCAAATGGACATTTGATTTTCAAGTACTTTGAAAGGCTGTGAAAACTTTTTTTGCTCTAAAATAAGAGTATTTACAGAATTGTATTGCGTAAAGAACAAAGTGTTTTGTGTTTTTTTAAGGAAGACTACAGTTCTAGGTTTCCCTTTAAACATTTTTAATTAAAAAAAATTAGTTGGGTAGAGCATAAAATGTTTCTTGGAACCAGAAGGCTTGAAGTGAATTTTCGGGGTGAGGTTTTTGATCCTGGAGTATAGTGTTAGTTACTTTTTAGGAGTGAGAGTACTGGAGGGGAGCAGACAGTGGTTACGCAAATGGAAACTCGCTGGGGAAGATACATGCCTGTGGAAGATGAGAGAAGCCTCAAGTGCCACAGAGGTCATCCCTGCCATGTCACACCTGCTCAGGGTACTCGGCCACTAATTTCAGTACCTTTCCTTGCCGAATGTTTCCACTTGTCTACAGAAAAGAAAAAGCAAATTCTCCCAATAGACAGGTTAAATATTTTGGGCAGGAATACTGCAAGTTGATGCTGTGTTCTTCTCTGCCTTGCTTTTTCCCCTTGACACAGTGTATTCTAGGAATTACTTCATATCCACTCACAGCACTTGCTCATCCTTTTTTATAGCTTCATAGTACTCCACTCTGTGGAATAACTGTTCTTTGTAATTAATCTGTTTATGACCATTTGAGTTATTTCTCAGACTTCCTATTTACGAAGTGATGTGATCAATAACTTGCGCATATGTTTTCTTCACACTGTTGGAGAGTAATACTATAACTTGAGCAGTTAAATTTAGAATTTATTGTTGGTTCTCAATTCAAAACATGTTTCTTAAGTATCAATATATTTTAATATAAATATTTGGATTGATAGGGGCCTTTAAGGGGTGCCTGTGTGGCTCAGATGGTTAAGCATCCCAACTCTTGATATCAGCTCAGGTCTTGGATCTCCGGGTTGTGAGTTCAAGCCCCGTGTAGGGCTCCATGCTGGATGTGGAGCTTACTTAAAAAAAAACAAAAAAACAAAATAGGGTCATATAATGTTCTCTTCAGTAGATGAAGTGTGGTGCAAGGCAAGTTGGCTCGCATTTGATTGGTAAACAGAGTGCTGTACCTAGAAGAACGCAGGGGTTGTGTTCAGTCATGTGGATTTTGCCCTGGCCCAGGAGAGCTGGCAGAGTTGGAGTAAAATTTTATAGGCTCCTGCAGGCAAGGCTATAGCTCCCAGTTTCTCTGTTGCATTAATAGCAGGAGGCCCTTCATACAGTATTTTAAGAAAACAAGCACTTTATCTTTATCTAGGACACCGTTGTTCTCCATCCTTCATACTGCTGACTTCCACTCATGGGGGGGTTGTCCTGCCTCCTCTGCCCACCTGATCAACTCTGCACAGGCTTGGGGCTCACTGTTGTCTGCGATGCCCAGTCCACTCTCTCAGCTCCAATTCAAGGGCTGCCAGCATTTCCCCAATCTGCATTTTGTGAAGTTTTAATATCCACTCTGGCGGCTTGCCTGCCTGAGTGGCTCAGATTATCTTTTTTTTTTTTTTTTAAAGATTTTATTTATTTATTCATGAGAGACACAGAGAGAGAGGCAGAGGGAGAAGCAGGCTCCCAAGGAGCAGGGAGTCCGATGCGGGACTCGATCCCAGGACCCTGGGATCATGACCTGAGCTGAAGGCAGACGCTTAACCATCTGAGCCACCCAGGCGCCCTCAGATTATCTCTTAAAGTCAGAGGTAATGTTGGTGTTCGAGCTCTTGTTATGAAGCCACCACAGTTTGAGGAGTGTGTTTTTTTCAAAAAGATGTTTTTAGTGTACAGTTTTGAAGAAGGCAAAGCCTTTAGGATGGCAAATAAAGCATTGTTTTTCCAAAAAGATGTGTTTTTAGTGTACAGTTATGAAGAAGGCAGAGCCTTTACGATGGCAAATAAAGCATTATAGTAGAAAATATCTGTACATTAAAAGATTTGGGAAGTCTAGTAAAAATAGAAGTTGATGTTTGTTCTGTATTTTGATAGTTACATTATGATTTTTACAAAGTTTTTTGGATTTATATTTTTGGTTTGTATCTTATTAGGACTGTATATGCCTATTATGTGTTAAATGCATATTAGATTGAAATTTGGGAATCAATTTTGGCAATTTTCCTGCAGGTTTTAGAAGACTGAGCTTAGACATCCAGTCCCCTCCAAATATTGGTCTGCGTCGTAGCGGACAGGTAGAAGGTGTTCGTCAGATGCATCAGAATGCTCCTCGTAGTCAGATTGCTACAGAACGTGACCTGCAGGCTTGGAAACGAAGAGTGGTTGTACCAGAGGTACCACTAGGCATATTTAGGTTTGTTTTAGGATATCTATTAATATTGTTTCTTTTTACAGAAATATATCTATATGGTTATTTACATGTTTTTTACTCCATTAGTGGTATAAATAATCATATAAATATATTTTAGTAATGGGTCAGAATCTATTTTAATTGTGGTAGGAAAATGTCGAAATTGTTCTCTAAGTTTTTACTGTGGTAAATTTTTTCCTAACCATTCCTGTTCCATCTTTACAAATACCCGCTTTTCTCCCTTCAGCGTTATTTTAAAATAAATCCCAGGTGTATCGTTTTGTTCATAAATATGTCTAATTCTAAAAGATAAGGAATTGTCTTTAATATTACCACAGTGTCATTATCAGTACCTTAAAAAAATAATTGCTCCGTAGAACTAAATGTCTGGTCAGTGTTTAAATTTCCAGTTGTTTTCAGTTTTTTGCAAGACTGTTTCTTCAGTGGTGTAATTTTGTCAAAAGGCACGTAACATATATTCTCTTTCCGTGACGCCGGCAGGCATTGGTGCTCACGGGCTAGGTTCATTAACTTATTAGGGGCCATAAAACAGCGATTGCTCAACTCTTGTGAAGTTTTCATTTGTTACAGTGGGTACTTCTAAAAAAGAAATTTATCCAAATGTACTGTTTGATTATCTAGTGGTAAAGTTCATATAAAGAAGACAAGATAGATGCTTCTTTTGCTTTATTTACCTTCAAAATGAAGATTTACTCCCACCCCCAGTAATGACCAGTTTGTGTTCTCCACTGTATAAATCACACTGCTGTGATTTAGCTTATTTCTAATATCCTTATTAAGTTTTTCTATCTCTGGCCAGGAGGAGCCTCTTCAAGGTACCTCCTGAGTCCTTTTGAAATGACGGTAGGATCCTTCTGTGGTGCCCCTGCTATCAGGCATGGCAAAGTGTTACAGGTTCGTCTTAATAAATTTCTCATCCTGGATGTAGTATCATTCTTGAAGTAGCCTGATTTTCTTGTAGTGGGAAATATTTTATAATTATAGTCTGGGCAGTAGGGTCTTTCTTGCTGCTGAGGTGTTACCTGCTGATATTTGAGTTAATGAAATGGAGGTAGCAAATGTTGCTTTTCACTGATAATCTGAAATATTCAGTATTCTGTTATGTCTCATAATAACTAATACTTTGAAGATTATTTTGTAAAGGTATGTCCTCCGTGTGTTTAGGCAGAAGAGTTTCAGTGATTGGTGGAAGAATGTAGTACTTACATATTGTATGGTGAATTTAAGAATGTTTATAGATACACAATAAAATAATGAAAAGCTAAATCTGGTACTGGGATGAGAAATACAGAAAATCACCGTCATGTATGTACTATGCTATAATTAAGCCTTAAAATTGTGTCTGAGTTGCATAGTCATCAGAACCAAAAGCATCATTTTGGGATACTTTTTGTTGTCAAAACCAAGGGAAGCAAACAAGTATCAAGAGTGAAAGATCTGAAGAATACTTCCTTAAACAGGCATATGTTATTTCTCTTAACATGGAAGACTGGAAATAGTTTTAGGCTGGAATCATGGTTCCCCGGTTAATCAGGGACTCAGGCTCCTCTGTTTCTGATCTCCATCTTGGAGTATGGCTTCCAGGCTTAAGGTCACCTCAAAGTCCAGGATAGCTGGACTTTATACAGTAGCCATCAATATCTGCATTTGTGATGGAGGTGGAGATTTAGGCCAGAAAAAGGAAGAGAGACAGAGGCAAAAAGGACATTTCTTGTTGAGAGACTTCATTTAAGCAGCCTTACTGGTTGCACATGACATTTTCTATTCATAACTCATTGATGAGAATGTTGTTATATGGCCATATTTAGCTACAGAGGAGGCTAGGTGATAGTTTGTATTTAGAGCAGCAAACAGCCTAGATAAAACAGGTTCTGTTTCAAAGGAAGAAAAGGAGAATGGAGTTTTTGTATCAACTAGCTGTCTGCTATAATAAAATTTTCCCAAAGAAGAGCGTAGCTTATTGTAGTGCTGTATTCTAAAATACATGTGAGATTTTGTAAGGGAGATGCTGAGTGATCTAGTAATGGTCAGTACTCTTGATGACTCCTTCTAGTGGGAGCAATAGGAATTTTACCTGTTTTCTTAGTGTGGCATTTGATGAGGATCAAGAGAAAATTAAAGTTTTGTTTTCCAACTATAAAAGTAGTATGTGTCCATTGTGAAAAACTTAGGGAGTAGATGAAAGTGTGAGACAATCAGTCAATGACCCTAATGTGCTGAATGATGAGCAAATAGTATTGCTTCCCGGTAGACACAGTTCTGATGGGGCTGGATTCCAGGCATGTAGTTTGTCTTAATTCAGTAATAGTAGAAACTCTCTTCATTCTGTTCATGCTAATTCTATGATCTTTATCTTTTTTCTCAACTGACCATCTCATTTAGCCATGAAATTACAGAGTTGAAGATGATACTCATGAAGGCCTACAATGTTCCTTTGCTTTATTATTGAGAATGAAGTGTATGTAGTGTTTTGTTTTCAAAACAAAGGGAAGCATACAGCTATGGAGTAGAAATTCCATTTGGCTGCGAGTGAAAAACCTTATATAGTTCCTTAGATACACACAAAATTGGTGACACAGACCACTTGTGAAGGGCTGAGTCTGATTTAGAGCTCCCCTATAGATACAGTGTTGCTCAGTGTTGCTCATCTCCAGTGGGCTGGAGATGTACCTTGAGGAAAATGCAATTTCTGTGAAATCAGTTTTTACCTTAGGGCATTTGTGCATATTCTCTTTCTGAGCATTTGCTTGTATCTTGGATTATGGCCAATATGTCAGTTTTGAAACTGGCCCAAGTGGGGTTTTAAAGTGAACACAAACACAAAGACATGTTTTCAACAGTGTTCAAATTAGAGAAAAAGGACATTCAGTCACTTGAATTCCCTAACCATGGAGAAGGAAAAAGAACTTCAGTACCTTCCTCATGGTGGAAGGTCCCTTGTTTTGAAATTGGTCACAGTAACAATCTTTTGTTATCATGTGAGTTGAGAGAGAGAGGTGATTAGAAGTACTGGTAACACTGCTATTCTGATTTTCTACAAATTATAAAACAGGCAGTTTGAATAAATTTGGAGGAGGATTCTGCTTTTCTTTAGAGAAAAGAATTGCAGTCTTGGAAAATTCATAGGGAGATTTTGAGTAGCTAATATGAAAAGTCCTGTTTGAGTTGGCTATACTGGGTCAGTGAAAATATAAACAATTATATCTGTATTAAATATGAAAGATAGGGGGTGCCTGGGTGGCTCAGTCCGTTAAGCATCTACCTTCGGCTCAGGAGCCCCGCATCGGGCTCCCTTATCCTCCAGGAGCCTGCTTCTCCCTCTCCCTTTGCCTACTGCCTCCTGCTCGCTCCCCCTGCTTGTGCGCTCTCTCTCTGTCAAATAAATAAAGTCTTTAAAAAAAAAAAAAAAGAAACATAGGACCTCCTAACTGCCTCTGAGATTATATTTATATTAAATTTCTAACATAAAGTATAGCTTGATTTGTTTTATTATAACTCTAAAATTTTTCTGTATTAAAAAGTATATAACCTTATGATGCCCAAAATCATAATGATTTTTTTTTCCTCTTCATATCCTTTACTTTATCCATCAGTTCACTAACCAATATAACTGGATACTTATATTTGTAGGAAGTTGGAAGACTTCAGAATAGAGAAAGGTGAAGAGGAAAGAAATCTTTACATAATAGGAAGGAAAAGGAAGACTCTCCAGCTCACACAAAAGGTAACCTAAAAATCTGTTTTCTTAGGAATAACTAGAAATTAAACTGCATTTGTACTTTTTTTTTTTTGATCGGTGAGAATATTAGTAACTTTTGCCTGAAGTAGGATATTTCTTGCTCAAGGTCTTCTGTTTGGGATTTAAAATAGTAGACATAAGGTTGTACAGCTGTTAGGAAAGAGTAGTCTGAAACTTGAGGGAAGGACGTAGCCTAATACCTAACAGTGCTAAAGGATTCTAGAAAACTCCTGTCTGATGACCACTCAGGTTAAGAACTGGAACATTACAAGCCCATTGCACACATTTCAGGTCCATTCCCACTCACTGACTGCCACAGCTAGCCAACCATTTGATGTCTAAAACTGCTGGTTAGCTTTGTCTATTTCTGAAGTTTATCCAGATGATGCATTTAAAAAAAAAATCTTAGATGTTAAAATGATTTGTGACCCTCCAAAGCTCATTGTCCCAAAGAAAATCTCATTCCTTAATATTTAGTTTCTCTCTTGATTTTCATGAGCATCACATGAGCAGCATTAACATTGATTCATGGAAGATGCCCAATGTTTGCAAGATCAGTGCTATAGAACTTTGTTGGAAAGTGGTTGTGTTTCCAGGACTTGTTCTCAGTTGACCACTCAGTCTTGAAGGCATGTCATGACAGATGGCCTGTGCATGTCTAGCTGCCATGACATGCTTTGTTGTTTCAGCTTGATGCTTGATAATTTTGTACATGACCTGGGCTTTGAGAATGAAGTAAAAATAGTGTTTAACTTAAAAGTGATTTAACTCATGTCAAGTATGAAAGGAAAAACATGTTGACTGAATGAATGAATATCTTTGGCCTAAGTTAGGATGTTTTCTCATGAAAAAAATTTGAAAGTTAAATTCACTAAAATAATTTTTAAGAAACTAATACATTTTTTCAGTTGTTTTACTTTTGCTGGAAGAATAAGTTTTGGAAGATTTTTTAAAAATTTGATTGCGTTGCTGTTCCTTATGTATTCATAGTTTTCTAATTTGGATATATTATTTGATCTAGTCTATGCAATTAAGTTATATTAAAATTCAAGGAATAGTTATAAAGTTAAATGTGAAGTGCTTTAATCTCTAACTGAAAAATTATGATTCTTAATCCTGTATTGAGTAAAAAGTCCAAGCTTTATACTTAACCATCTTATGTACAAAGCCCAGTTATATACAGTACATAAACACTGACCACATAGGTCTGTGGCATTTACATTTTGTGGGGGAACAAATTAGGAAAAAGTTCAGTTTCCTGTAGGGTAGTGATGTTGTAAAAATGTCAAGAAACACTAATCTAAGTGGAATCCTGCAGTATGCAATCTTTTGTATCTGGCTTAGTCATTTGGCTAGATGAGATTTATCTGTGTTGCAGTGAGTAGGTGAAGTCCATCTGTTTTCATTGCTGTATAGTATTCCCTTGATGAACATGCTGCTACTTAAGTGTGTTCTTGAAGGACATTTGGGTTGTTTTCATGTTTGATTGTTAGTCGTAATTTTCCTTTCAACATTTTGTATATGTCTCTTGGTATCTCTGTGTGTGTTTCTTTTAAGTATATGCCTTGGAGTGAAATTTTTGGATTATAGGATATGCGTATATTCCACTTGGTAGTTTATGCCCCGTGCCATTTCAGAATGATTGCACTTCTACCTGTAATAGGTATGAAAATTTCATTGTTTGTAGATTTCTTTCTACTTGTTTTTCTTTATATGGTTTGTAGTTATATTATTTGTTACGTACACATTTAGAATTTCCTTTTTCCCTACTGAATTGAACCTTTTCTTAGTATTTTCACCCCTTATTTCTAGTAATGTTTTATTCTCAAAATTCTTTATACAGCTATGCTAGCTTTCCTTTGGCTCGTGTTGCAGAGTATATGTTTCCCTCTTCCTGACACTGCAGTTACGTGTATATTAGACTTTTACTGCTGATTCCCTTTTGTTAGGCTGCTATCTGCTTTTCTGAATTTTTTTTTTTTGACCTCTGTTTCACTTTGTTAGTTCTGTTTAGCTGTGTGTAATCTGGTGTTAAACCCATTGTGTTCTTAGTTTTAGTTACTGTATTTCTCAGTTCAGAATTTTTATTTAGCCCGCTATTAGGGCTTCCAGTTTTCTGCTAAAGTTCTCGTTATTTTAATTTCTTAAAAGTCCGTGTCTGATAATTTCATTATTTTAATATCTTGTTCCCCTGTTTCCATTGCTTGTTGATTTTTTTTCTCATTTTTTACCGTCACATTTTCTTTGTTACCTGTGGTTTTGACTGAATGTTAAATGTTAGAGATAATTGGAAGCCTAGGATGATACTTTTTCCCCTGGAGAAGTTTTACATTTGCTTCTGGTAAGCTGCTAGGGCCACTGTCAAGCCTGTATTGCCTTAATCCAAACAAGGATGGGGCTATAGTTCCTTTGGATTACTGTTCATCTGTAGTTTACTGATAGGGCTAGGCAGTGCCCTTTGATCAAATAGCCAAAGCCTAGAGTGTTCTCCCACACATAGGAGGCTCTGAATTGCAATTTTTTTGTTAGCCTACCTGGTTTAATCTGTCAGTGTTTTGCTTACCTGTTCAACCTGTCAGCTTCCTCTTCCAGAGTGAAATTCTAGGTTTTTCTTTTGTTTGCACTCTTTTTCCTATCTTGGGCCTACAGTTCTTTATAGGTTTTATTAGGTAGATGCCCTCACACTTATTTTTAAAAAAATATATTTTGAGATATTTTCTTGTTCTTAATGGTAGTTTGGTCCACCTGTGTTCACAAATTTCAGTCATGAAACTCATTAATAGGAGTTTTTGTTTTAACAAAAATCAGTACTGACAAATTTAGGGAAGTGCAATTCATTTTAAAAGCAGCCAGTGGCATACTGAAATGATTAGATACCAGTGATTATCACACAGAAGGCACTGATGTGAAAATTGTATATCGGCTCAAGGAATATGTGCTTTCATTGAGTGATTTCACATACAACTTGGGTGTTTGAGGAATAGCAGGCTCCCTCCACCCTTTAAAAAAAAAAATGCAGCCGGGGTGCTTGGGTGGCTCAGTCATTGAGCGTCTGCCTTTGGCTCAGGTCATGGTTCCGGGGTCCTGTGATCCAGCCCTGCATCGGGCTCCCTGCTCTGCGGGGGGCCTGCTTCTCCCTCTCCCACTCCCCCTGCTTTGTTCCCTCTCTTGCTGTGTGTCGCTCTCTGTCAAATAAATAAAAAATCGTTTAAAAACAATGCAGTATATTATATTTGGATGCTTTTTAAAGATTATTTTGTTTTGATAAAATATATTTTAAAAATTCAAGTGGAGCTGAAAAGTACTGAAAACAAATCTAAAAATTTAAAACCTGGAAATAAGTGGGGTTAATATTTGAGGATTATTTCAGATATTTCTCTCTACCTCTGTTCCTTAATGTTGGTGACAGCATCATAATATACGAATATATACTTTCACTTCTAAGATATATATTCTAAGGGGTATCTCTTTTGGGTTGGTTGTTACATTATTAATGGCAAAACAGTTACCTTACAATTTAGTTTGGAAAATGCTGATCTAATGTGCCTCATTTACCATGTCTTCTAAGTACCTTAAAAGTAAAAATGCCAAGTTTAATTTGTGTGGGTATTTGAACTGTTATTATTTTTTATTTTTACCTTAAATTCCGTTTTGGAATTTGAAAGAATGCCCATCTTGCTGATGCTTGTACTTATTTGGGTGTTGATTTTTGTCTGCTTGTTTATGTTTCAGTCTGACTCGGTGGTTTTGCTGTCACAGTCTAGGCAGAGGACATGCAGGCGCAAATACCCAAATTATGGTAGAAGAAATCTTGGCCGGCTTGAGTTATCTTCTGGAAATGAATCTTCAAGCTCTATGAGACATGTGAGTCTTGTAACTTTAAATTATATAAAATAATGTTCAGTAACTTGTCTTAATTCTTCCCTTTGAATCTGCCAAGAGACTAGGATGAATTTTTAGCAGCTTTGTTGAGACACTTATCATACAAGTGTATAATCCAGTAGCTCTAGTATATTAACAGAATTGTGCCATCATCACTACTATTTAACTTCAAAATATTTTCATTGCCTCTAAAACGAAATCTTAGACTCGTTTGCAGTTACTTCCCAGCCCACCTCACTCAGCTCCTGGCAACCACTTTCTGTCTCTGTGGGTTGATTGGCCTGTTCTGGGCATTTTATATAAATGGAATCATACAATATGATTTTGTGACTGGCTTTTTTCCCTTAGCCTAATGTTTCCAAGGTTGATCCATGTGTAACATGTATCCATAGTTGTTTTTGGGTCTAGGGAATAATGCAGCCTACTAACAAACAGGTTTTTGATTGAACATAAGGTATCATTTCATTTGGGTATCTATCTAGGAGTTTGTTTGCTGGGTCATGTGGAAACTTTATGATTTAATCTTTTGAGGAATTGCTAAAAGGTTTTCCAAAGCAGCTGCACTATTTTATATTCCCATCAGTAATGTGTGAGGATTCCAGTTTCACCACATCCTTATCAGCACTTGGCATTGTCTGTACTTTTGATTTTAGCCATCCTAGTGGGTGTGAGGGGGTAGCTCACTGGTTTTGATTTGCATTTCCCTAATGATTAATGATGTGGTACATGTGCTTATTTCCTGTCTATCCTTGGGGAAAGGTCTGCAAATCTGTTGCCCATTTTTCAGTTTGGTTGTCTTTTTTTATTGCTTTGAAAGTTCTTTATTCTGGATGTGAGTCCTTTGCAAAGGATGTGCACATATTTTTTCCCATTCAGGGTGCTGGCGTTTCACTTCTTTGATGGTTTGTTTCCTTTGAAGCACAAAAGTTTTATGAAGTTTGATGAAATCCAGTTGATTTTTTTTTTTTTAACTTAGTTGCTTGTGCTTTTGCTGTCATATCTAAACCTTTCTCTAACCCCTTTGCTTGACTTTGAATAATTACATGGAATTACGGGTCTTCATTTTGATTTTTGGGGGGAAACCAAGAATTTTTTTTTTTTAAGATTTTATTTATTTATTTGAGAGAGAGAGAATGAGAGATAGAGAGCATGAGAGGGAAGAGGGTCAGAGGGAGAAGCAGACTCCCTACTGAGCAGGGAGCCCGATGTGGGACTCGATCCTGGGACTCCAGGATCATGACCTGAGCCGAAGGCAGTCGCTTAACCAACTGAGCCACCCAGGCGCCCGAAGCCAGTATTTTTGTAAAGAGTCTTTGAAATTTAATAATAGAATGTTATTATTTTCTAATCAGTAATGTTTTGAGGTTTGAAATGTTTCGTATGGATGGACAATTCATTTAATTCTGTTACAAAGCATTAAAGTAGTAGTTCAGCATAGGGTTTGAGATTAAGTCTAAATTCTTCCACTACGACAAGTTGTTTAACCTTTTTGTGCCTCTGGCCAGATCTATAAAAGCAGTCAGTGGTAACATGTTCCTCAGAGATGTGAGCACTTACTTGATTGTGAAGTATTTAAAACAGTGCCTAATATCCAATAATGCTAGCTGCTATTATCACCAGCCTATTAAGCTGATTTTGTTTTATGTAATGAGACTGTTTTTACATTATTTTCTTATTTATAGTGAATCGAGCATGTTTTAACCCTTTCTTAATAGTTTTGGGTAATTATGATAAACATTCCCACCTATCCTCACTGGTTTCTGGTTTATGCTTACTGTGTTTTTCTTCATACGTGTGTATTTTATTGTTTCTCCTTTTGTACACAAGGTAGAGCATACTATAGATGCTCTTTTGCCCTTGACTTTTTTCACTTAAAATATTCTTGAACCCACTCCATATCAGTTCTTCCCCGTGGTTTTTTAAGAGTTGCATCACACGTAATTGTGGGCTTGGTAATAGTTTATTTAACCACTCTCTTACTTATGGGCATTTAGGACATTTCCAGTGCTTTTGTCATAAATAGTGTCACAATGAATAATCTTTCTTTGTATGTAGTTTTGTCCTGTCGGAGATGTAATTTGGGAGTACGTTCCTGGGAATGGGATGCTGGGTCCAAAGGTAGATTCCTATGAGTTGTATGAGATAGTGATAAAAAATTCCTGCTGAAGGAGGGTTCCAACCTGGCGTTCCTACCAGTGGCGCTTGGGAATGCCTGTTTCCCTACCTGTTAGCCAACAGATTGTGTTATACTTGGTAATTTTTGCCAAGTTAATGGGTGAGAGATGGTGTCTTAGTATAGTTTTATTTGTATGTTTTGGCTGTTCTTTTAGTGTTGTAAAATATATATAACATAAAATTTATCATTTTAACTATTTCTCTGCATACAGTTCATTGGCATTAACTACCGTCTACAGTGTGTGCAGCCATCACCGCTGTGTTTCTGACACTCTCACCGCCCCAGACGCTCTGTGCTCACTGAACACTGACCCTGTCCCCTTCTCCATCCCTGCTAGCCTTCTTCTTTCTGTCTCTCTATCAATTGGACTATTCCAGGGACTCTTGTCAGTGGAATCATGCAGTATTTGTCCTTTTGTCTTTGGTTTATTTCACAGAATAGTTTTATTTTGATTTTTTCATACTACGTGTGAAGTTGTTGAACATCTCTTCATATATTTAGAGTGTTTTTTTAATAATCTTTATGCACTATGTATTTATGTCTTTTGGTCATTTCTCTATCATGTTTTTGGCCTCTCCCCTCTACTCCGCCTTAATTTTTATCTTTTTTTGGGGGGGGGGACGGGGCAGAGGGAGAGAGTGAATCTTAAGCAGGCTCCTTGCCCAGCGTGGAGCCTGATGTGGGGCTTGATCTCACAACCCTGAGATCATGACCTGAGCCAAAATCAAGAGTCGGACGCTTAACCAACTGAGCCACCCAAACACACCCCCCTGCCTTTTTTAAAAGTTCTTAATAACTAGGGATTAATCTGTAGTTTGTAAGGTGCTGGGTGTTTTTTTGCCATTATGGCCCCTAAGTAGTTATTACTTGGTGTAGATGAAGGCTTCTGATTTCAGTAGATTTAATTTTTTACACATCCTGCTGTGTTCCTGAATTGTTGGGTTAATTTTATCATTGAATTCTCTGAGGTTTTTTAGGTATCTTCTCCTTTGTACAGATAGTTTTACCCCTAATTTTTGTACCTCTCATTGATGTCTCTTATCTAATTGCATTGCTCAATTCTTCTAGCACAGTGCTGAATAGTAGTGGAGATAGTGGTCCGTATTCCTGTTGGTGGACACATGTCTACCACTTTCACATTAAGTAAGATACTTTATTTTAGGTATCTACAGTATACATATATATTTTATTTTGCTAAGGGAATATCAGCTAATGCTTATTTTCTTATGTTCTTTTTGAAATACCAGGATTGATTATAGATTTTTTTCCTTTTTAAATTGTCACTGGTATGAATCTTACAATTTTTGTCTTTATATCTGTTAATTTGGTGTGTTTTTAAGTAATGGGGAACTTTTTAAACTAATGCAAACATAGATAATATGGAATATTAAATCCACTTGACCTTTTAAAATAAATCATAATTTTGGGACACCTGGGTGGCTCAGTCGTTAAGCGTCTGCCTTCGGTTGAGGTCATGATCCCGGGGTCGTGGGATGAGTCCCACTTCTTGCTCTGTGGGGAGCCTGCTTCTCCCTCTGCCTGCCACTCCCCCTGCTTGTACTCTCTCTCTCTCTGACAAATAAAATCTTAAAAAAAAATTTTTAAAAATCATAATTTTGTGTTTTGGTGTAGTTGGTTTTACTTCCATTGATACTCCTTCACCTGTGTTGTTGCAGTGAGGTGAGGAGAAGTGGGGGGGGTGGCTCTTGTGGCTGGGTGGAGATGGTGTGTGTGTGTGTGTGTGTGTGTGTGTGTGTGTGTGTGTGTGTGTGTGTAGGGCAGCAGGATAGAGATTGTGGCATTGTGTACATGCATGTTGGTTGCATTCCATTTTGGTTTGGAAAATACTGATGGTAGAAAAAGTTTAAGGGCTTTCTAGTTAGCCAGATTTTTAATTCCAGTTCCTGCACTTTCCGTCCTGTGACCCCAGGCGTGTTACTTTACTTAGCCTTGGGTGTCCCTATAGATGAAGAGCTAGTAATATACAGGTAGGGACCTGGGAGACAATACAGTACTCATAGGGTGGATCCAAGTTTTGTGGGGTTGAAGCTTGTGTAATTTTAGAGTTTTCTTCTTCTTCTTTTTTTTTTTTTAAGAAAGGTAACTCAAAGTTTCAAGCAGATACATGCTACCTTGATAGGCAAGTTAAATCAGAAGTCTCTGAAACTTAGTGTTGTTAATTTTCTTAATTCTGCCTCTGTTAACAGAAGTGTTTGGAGAGTTGGGGTAAGACATATATGACATTTCATAGGGTGTATGGTTTCTAGGTAGTAGCTTTGAAGAGTTTGTTTTTATTACTGTGATTTAAAAAAAAGTCCATTTGAGCATGAGAAGCACACTCCTGTTTAGTAGTTCTGTTGTGCTAGGCTTAGAATCTGTACTCGTGGAATAGGGTTGGGCTCACATTTTGAGAAACAGTTTGTAGAGTATGTTGACTTTACATTTTGCCTATTCAAATGAAATAAACAAAAGTAGATTTTTTTTAAAGGATTTTATTTATTTATTAGAGAGATTGAGAGCACAGAGGGAGACTTGAGAGGGAGAAGCAGACTCCCGCTAAGCAGAGAGCCCGATGCGAGACTCGATCCCAGGACCCTGAGATCATGACCTGAGCCGAAGGCAGATGCTTAACTGACTGAGCCACCCAGGTGCCCCCAAAAGTAGATGTTAACTTGAGATTTTGTCTTTAGAGTTTTGGATCTCATTGACATTTTCATTATCCATTATCAAAGCTCCTAACGTAAATGCTGTTACAGGAAAAGGTCCTATCTTAGTTTAAAAGTACCTGCCTGGGATCCATGGCCAGAACTTAAAGTGGATTGCAACTGTTAGTGCTGTGGGACTCAAAAAGTTGTTTGTTCTGTTCTCTCCCCTTTATTGACTTAAAAAAAATTTTTTTTTTGTATATGGTCAAGTAGTGTTTGACAAAGGAGCAAAGACAACTCAATGGAGAAAACATAGTTTTTTCAACAAATGGTGTTGGAACGACTGGATAGCCACATGTAAAAAAAAAAAATCTAGAGAGAGACTTCTCACAAAAATTAACTCAAAATGGACCATAAACTTAATATAAACCGCAAAACTGAAATTTCCGGAAGATAGCAAACAATAAAATGTAGGGGACCTTGGGCAGTGACTTTTTAGATCGAATACCAAAAGCACGATCCATTAAAGAAAAACGTGACAAGCTAGACTTCATTGAAATTAAAATCTGCTCTGGGAGAGATACTGTTAAGAAAATGAAAGGCAACTATTGACTGGGAGAAAATATTTGTAGAGCTCCTATCTGATAAAGGGCTTGTATTTAAAACATACCATGAATTCTTAAAACACATTCATAAGAAAACAAAAAATCCAATTTCAGAATCAGCAAAATGTCTGACACCTCATCAGAGAATATCTACAGATCATACAGAAAGATGCGCACCATCAGTCATAGGGGATGAAAGTGGAACGACGAGATCCCATTGCATACCTATCACGATGGCCTAAGTCCAACAGTACACTGAGAACATTTACATTGGCTTTTTATGAACTTCACTCAGAGAAGGGCCGGCTGTACTAACAGTAGTAGCGTTAAGTCTTAGACTCTAGGGTGCCTTGTGCCTTGATAAGAAAAAGATCTAGTAAAGACATTTACCTTGTGTTTTTTTAAGTCCACTTAATTCTGTTTCTTGTCCGATGGCCTAAGATGATTAGGACGAAGTGCAGTTTTTCTTGACTTGTGTTATTTAATCTCCAAGATCAGGATTTTTATTTTATCTACCCACCCCCCTACTCTCCACCCCTCATCCCCCACCCCCTGGCCAATAGGAGACTTCCTGTGATCAAAGTGAAGGCTCTTGTTCTTCTGAAGAAGAAGAGTGGAGGAGTGATCGAAGAAGTGAGAGTGACAGCGAGAGTTCAAGGTACCTCTTTTCCTTGTTCCATCTTTTCCACAGATTAGTCATAGGCTTGGATGCAGTGGACGCGGGTAGCATTCAAGATGTGAGAGCTCACGTCTGTGGGACAACTGACTGTTTAGCACATTTAAAAGCAGGAGAAAACCGGGCTAGTTCTATAGAAAATATTTTGGGTATTTTTTACTGTAAACATTTGAGCCAGCAGGACGTAGGGTGTGTGTACTCAAAATATCAGTCTAGTCTTGGGCTGCATTTATAAAGCGTAGTATCCAAAGTATATGTGGTAAGACCATCGTTCTCTTTATTATTAGTTAATGCATGTGTTGACCTTTTGCTTAGTTTTGGTATCCAAATTTCATGGGACCAGGATGTTAACATCTATTCCTCCTCTTGGTAAAGAAATGTCAACTTCACCTTTGGCAGACGCTGAAGCCAGAAACCTGGACCTCTTTCTCTTTTCATGAACATATCCATCACCACATCTAGGAAGGTGCCCCTTCCAAATACGACTCAAAATATCTTGTTTCCATTGGTCCTGTGCTTGTCTAAACCACCATACTGTACTCCCTGTATCCTTTCTTGACTTCTTTGATTCCATTATGTTTAGGAGCTGGAGTGATTTTTAGAACACCTGTCTTTTTTTTTTTTTTATAAATTCATTTTAAATTATGAAATAGACATAATAAAATTTACTCTCTTAACCATTGTTAACTGTATATTTCAGTAGTGTTAAGTACATTCATATTGTCTTGCACCCAGTCTCCGGAGCTCGATGCAAAACTGAAACTGTATTCTCATTCTCCACTTCACGCCCCCAATCCCCTGGCAACCACTGTTCTGCTTTCTCTCTCTATAATTATTGTCTTTTAATTCAACTTTTCTTGAGTTTTATTATACAAAGCAGGTGCTCTTAAAATTTTTCTAAATAGCTCTTTTTATTATAAACAGCTCTTGGAAACGTGTTAGTGTGAGTGTGTTTTATTGAGCCCGAGAGGTATGTGGTTGGCCGGTGATGGCCCAGTAGAGCCCTTTGTCATCCTTTTCTGTATTTGCTGAAGCTAGTAGTGGGCAGGGGGCTCGTTTTCTGGATCTAGTTTTTTGTTTGACTCTGCTTCTGCTCCGGGGTGGGCTAGGACCAGTTCCTCTCATGGACCTTCTGTCGTATCAGGGAAGGGTCCCTCTCTTGGCAAGAAGCTCTGACCACTTACAGCTTTCTATTTGTTGTGGCTTTGTTTTCCTTGGGCTTCTCGGTCTGTTCACAGATGGTTTTTCATTCCGCTTAAAATTTCTAGTCTATTCCTGAGCCACCTGTCACTCAGGCTGGGTGGGGGGGCCTACTCTTAATGGCTCTGTGTGATCTCTTCTGTTTTCATAACTACACTCCATCTTCTGAAAGGGGAATTGTTGGTTGGCTCTAAATGTTGTCTTCCACGAGGTCTCCTCTATATTATACTTTAAAAAAAATTCCTTAGGCTTACATCCTTTCCCTCATTTCCAGTGAAGGTTTCTCTCTTTCTCATGATCTCTGGTCATTTCAGTATTCGCTGATGGTGAAGGCAGATTGTTCAAGTTAAATCTTCCCAGGATCCATCCTTCCTTCCCTCTTCATCTCTTCTCTTAATGTTAGGTGACTGATTTGCTCTCAGGGCTTAGATTCTGGTTCCCTGCAACTTACGCTGTTTTCCTTTGCCAGTGACTCGTCATCTCGATACTCTGATTGGACCGCTGACGCAGGCATCAATCTGCAGCCGCCTCTACGGACGTCATCACGTCGGCGAGTTACTCGTTTTTGCAGTAGTTCAGAGGATGAAATGTCTACTGAGAATTTATCTCCTCCAAAAAGGAGACGAAAGAGAAAGAAAGACAATAAGCCTAAAAAAGAGGTAAGAGAGGTACATCTTTTTAAACTTTATATTTATAGAGGTGTTTCTGTCCATACTTAGAAATTAAAAATCTTTGGGAAATTGGAGCTTTTATATTCTTTTGACACTATTAAGTCATCAAGACTCAAATGTAAAATGGAATTTATATTTGGAAAAGCTTCTCTTATTATGAAGTCTTCTCTGTCGAATCTGCCACAAATTGGCCTTGGCCCCGACTCCTTCCCCAGTTTGACACTTAAAGGGGGAGCCCTGTTTTGCTCACAATCCCACCATAACTTTTTATTTTCTCCTGTTAATTTCAATACCAGAAATGTGCTTCAGGGCATTTTAAGGCACTTCTTATTTCATCTGCTATTGCCATGTTTCCCAGACGCATCTGATATGTTCTCTCTCATTTGGCCTGTTCACACATACCTAATTGTCCCTACTCCTCATGTGCACAGTGCTTGTGTCATGCGGGTGGTGGCCGTTATTTAAAGATGCCACGTCTTTGTACTTCTTCTCTGTTGCTGTGTAACAGATGACTCTGAAATTTAGCTCCCTAAAACAACAAACATATATTCATGTTTTGATGAATTGGGAATTTGAGGGCTGATTAGCTAGGTGATTTTTGGCTCACAAGGTTGCAATTATCACATTGGCTGGAGTTGGCAGCTGTCTGAAGGTTTGACTGAAGCTGGCTGATCATCTTTGAAGCTTATTCATTGGGCAGTTGGCTGGTGGACTCAGTTGCTAACCACATGGGCCCCTCCATAGTGCTGCTTGGGCGTCTGCAGGACATGGTGGCTGATTTTCCCTAGAGCAAGTGATCCTGAGGTGCAGGCAGGGGGTGAACCCTAATGCCTGTGACAGCCTAGTCTTCGAAGCCCCTTGTTACTTCTGTTTTATCTTCTCTTTGTTAGAAGCACTTCCAGCCCACCCTCTAGTGGAGATGTGGCTGCACCTCTTGAGGAGAGGAGGAGAATCAAAGTTTGGTCATGTTTTAAAATCACCAGTTTTTAAAACCTCAAATCAAGAGGAGACTGTGATGATTAGTTCATGGTGAAATTCAGAAGGGTGTGTCTGTAGAGAGGCTGTGTGCTGAAGAGGATTTATGTTGGAAATTAGGCCCCTTCTCTGTAGGATATAAAGTGTTATGAAGAATCTATGAGAAATTCAGGAGATGCTAGAAAAGTCCTAGATAAATCTACAATGCTTTCATAAGTGATACGTTCCTGTGTATGTTAAGGAACCAAATATGTATGCTATTTAAAAACTGTATGTTAAAAAAAAAAAAGTAGGAAGGGAAAAATGGAGGGTGGGAATCGGAGGGGGAGACGAACCATGAGAGACTGTGGACTCTGAGAAACAAACTGAGGATTCTAGAGGGGAGGGGTGGGGGGATGGGTTAGCCTGTGATGGGTATTAAAGAGGGCATGTATTGAATGGGTGTTATACGTAAACAATGAATCATGGAACACTACATCAAAAACTAATGATGTAATGTATGGTGATTAACATAACATGATAAAATTAAATAAAACAACAAAAAAACTAATCATTAGGTGACATGCCCATAAATAGTCATTCTCAGTGGTGAAGTTTCCTTTGTTTTTCAATTAAACAGTGTATGCATGCCCTTTCTGTTGAACTAGTTCTCTTCCCCTTGGCAGAACTTGCGAAGGATGACTCCGGTGGAGCTTGCAAATATGGAACATTTATATGAATTTCATCCTCCAGTTTGGATAACTGACACCACACTTCGAAAGTCTCCTTTTGTTCCTCAAATGGGTGATGAGGTGAGAGTAATAAAATTTAAGATCTTGAATATGGACCATAAGAAAATATTTTACTGTTAGGTTTTAATGTAAATATATGCTTTTTGTAGGTAATATATTTTCGACAGGGTCATGAAGCTTATATTGAGGCTGTCAGAAGAAATAAAATATATGAACTGAACCCTAACAAGGAGCCATGGAGAAAAATGGATCTCAGGGTAAGATGATGATATTTTTAAATCATTAAACAATTAGCACATGTATAGTTAAATATTTATAAATCCATTAAAAATAAACCTAATGGAGGCATATTTCATTACTATCTTTCCATTGATTTCCTACTTATAAACATTTCTACTCTCACCTTGTAAGCCTTAAGATCCAGTAGGAAGACGTGTTTGTCAGTGGGCAGTCTTTGTGTATTGCTGACTGGTGTATAAAATTCTAAGTGTGTTAGTCTTTCAGGAAGGCATCTTGGCAGTATATATCATTAATCTTAAAATGTGTATATCTAAGATACATATTCAAAAGAAGTACGGCTTTTCAAGAGAGGAAATACAAATTAAAAAGGGGTGGACCCCATGCATAAGGGACTAGATTGATGACAACACTTGCATACCCCTGTATTTAACCAATTTTATAAATTTTTTTTTTTTTTAAATAACATTTAAAGAAAGAAACTACCACATTTCAGCAAGTAGCAAAGGTTTTGGTTTGTTACCAGTTACTCACATTGGTGACAGGGTCCATTGAACAGCCCAGGCTTTCTGGAGGCTATTTTGACAATTGGAATTGAAACTGAAGAATATCTAGATGTTTTAATTCAGTGATTTTACTTCCAGTAATGTAGGAAACAACTGGAAATGCATGTGAATTTATGAGCAAGGCAATTTCATATCACTGTTTATAAAAACAAAACATTAGAAAAAATCCAAATATCCTATGGTATTGAATGAATCAAATCATGGTACATTCACAGAATTGACTACTATGTAGAGCCTGCTGCGTAATTGAGGCTTTTAAAATATTTGTTGAATGAATGACTATTAAATTTTTATAATTTATTACTAAGAGGAAAAATGGGATGTGAAATGTTGTTTGTGGTTATGATAAAAATTTACAGACATATATCTCAACCACAATAAATACATCAAAAAGTCAATAGTGATTATATGTGGAATAGCACTACAGTTGATTTTTATTTTGTTCTTTATACTTTTATATGTTTTTGATACTTTGAGTAACTGTTAGAAGATGAAAACAGCTATGTTAGCAGAGATAGCTGTTCTTAACTCCCCTTTAACTTAGTGGCTGTCCTTGAACTTGGCTTGAGTTATGTTCTGATTTATGTATGTCTGTCTCACTGCTGAGTCTTCTGAGTACAGTTGATCTTCATTATTCACAGATTCCATATTTGTGAATTTGCCTACTTGGTGCATGTTATTTGTAACCCATAATCAATGCTCAGGATGCTTTCTGGTCATTTGCAAACATGCACAGAGTGGCAAAAAATTAGATTTGCGTGACCAGCATGTTTCCAGCTGAGATTGAGCAAGGTGATGCCTTCTTATTTGAGCCCTCATCTCATAAATAAGGGTCCTTTTCACAGTGTGTTGAATGCAACAGGAAAGGATGTTTACAGTTTTATGCTTTTTGTTGGTGACCTGCTGTTGAAAATAGCCCCCAAGTGTAGTGCTTAAAGTATTCTACAGTGTTAGCACAAGAAAGTGATGATGTGCTTTATGGAGAAAGTATGTGCGTTAGATAAACCTTGTTTAGACCTGAGTTAGACTGCTTTGGGCTGTGAGTTCAGCGCTAATGAATCAATATATTAGATGAGGTGTCTTTACACAGAAACACACAAAACAGGGTTGTGTATCTCTAGGGAGAGAACAAAGCTGGAAAGAAATTCAGATTGTTCACAGTAGTTGTCTTTAGATATTGAGCTGGTTAGTGACTTACATGTTTCTTCTTAACACTTGTGGTATATTTTCTAAAGTGAGTATATTCCTTACATTAGAAGAAACAGTATTAAATGTCTATCCTAAAAAAGATGTGAAGATTAACATTAGCAAAAATTATTGTAATTAATGTTAAATTGGAAGCTAAACGGTGAGTTGACTTACTGTGGCAATATGGAGAATTATAGTCTTGAGGAATTGCTCTATTTAAACCATTTAAACACTTGCTCTTTTAAAAATATCTGTTAAAGGATCAAGAATTGGTCAAAATAGTTGGAATACGATATGAGGTTGGGCCCCCTACACTCTGTTGCCTCAAACTTGCGTTTATAGATCCTGCAACTGGAAGATTAATGGACAAATCTTTCTCTATTAGGTATGTGTTACTGTTTTTTTATGGAATTATTTAAATTTAGATTTTTTTCTCTTGCTGATGAGCATGTCCTTTCCATAGCTGCAGGGGGCAGAGCACTGTAGACAGCCTGTGAGTTAAGGTTCCTGGTAGATGGGAGCCCAGTAGAAGTAAAGATCATGTGCTGTAGCAACAGTTTGGCATTAGCATGTTTTATACCTTTCCCCATGCCACTTAAATGTGTGGAGAATTCTGGCCTGGAGGGGACATTTCTTCTGTCTTTATTTTTGAGAAAATGTTAGAACAAATAATTTGTTAGGCCTGTGTTGTCCATTACGGTAGCCCTTAGCCACTGTGGCTCTTGAGCACTTAGAATGTGGCAGATTTCAATTGAGTGTGATGTTAAGTGTACACACTAGATTTTGAAGACTTGATACGAAGAAAAAGATTATGTAAAATGTCTCATTATTGGGGCGCCTGGGTGGCTCAGTTGGTTAAGCAACTGCCTTCGGCTCAGGTCATGATCCTGGAGTCCCTGGATCGAGTCCTGCATCAGGCTACCTGTTCGGCAGGGAGTCTGCTTCTCCCTCTGACCCTCCCCCCTCTCATGTGTGCTCTCTCTCTCTCTCTCTCTCTCTCATTCTCTCTGTCTCAAATAAATAAAATCTTTAAAAAAAAAAAAGTCTCATTTTGTGCTGATAACATTGTGAAACAGGATTTAGGGTATGTAAGGTTAAATAAAATACACTCTTAACATTAATTTTACTAGCTTTTTCACTTTTTTTTTTAAATAAGGCTAGTAGAAAAATAAAAATTACAAGTGCAGCTCCCATCCTATTTCTTTTTGACATTGTTACCCTAGGCTATAACCTGCTACTCAGGGAGTTTAACAATTTTTTATATTTCTGTTTAGGTATCATGATATGCCAGATGTTATTGACTTTCTTGTATTGCGTCAATTTTATGATGAAGCAAGACAGAGGAATTGGCAGTCTTGTAAGTCCATCCTTACTGAGTTTTATATGCCTTTAGAAAATGATCTCTCATTTTACTGGTCCATTTTTCTGGTTATAGTGCTGCTTATTACGGTGGATGCAAACATGTAAGTCGTGGAAAGATATAAGTGACTGGAGTATACTTTGCTTAAGGCTTGGTACTTACTTCTCCTTAATACCCTTTTTAGCCAAGCACCATTTCTTGTATTCTCACAGTAGCTGATGTTTTGAAGGGATTATTTCTTACTCATTGATTATATGCTAGAATTGACCTTTTATTTCCTTTCAGACTTCCTCGCACTGCATTTTTTCTGTCTTTTTAATGTGACTGGCATAATTCACAAAATTATTCTATGATATAAAACAATCAGGCGAAAAATAATGCAAATTTCACACTGATAATATTCTGGTATACCAGAATATTTTAGTTTAATGTCGTTATCAACCCAGACTTAAATAGGTTGACTTGAGGAAACCATTCCTCTAAAAAATAAATTCATAGAACACTTACACTTTATAACCCTGAGACATCTGGCTGGACAAAAAATAAAATTACCTCAATGTACATGCTAGCTTGACTGTGGTTTTTGTGGTGACCATTTAGGGTGGGCTGGTGGGCTCCTTTGCTTGACTGTGTAGGTCATTAATGTCCATGGGACAAAATTGATGATTGTAACCAGGCCAGGTAATACTAGTTAGCAACTGTAGTATAGTACCCATCTCATAGGTATACGTGTATTACTTTCAGTATGGAATGCTGTCTGGGGAGCTGATATGTTGAGCTTGACTTGAATCACTTAGGACCATTCATTTTCCTTTTATCAGTTTTGGTCTCTTAGAAATACTAAGTTTTACTCAGATCTCTTATTAGAAGTATTAAGTTTTACATCTGGTGTACACATTTGTAAATGATATTAAGACCTCATTAATTTTCCTAGTTTTTGCTGCCTTTTTCTACAGGTACTACAAATAGGTAAATTTTAGATAAATTCCCTGAGCCATCCCTATTTGAAATGAAAGATTGTCAGGGAATGTGGCTGCTCTTAGTAGACTGTCTTTAATGGTAATGTCCACTCAAGTAGTTAGCATTATTTTGGGACTAGAGGTAAAGGAAATTTTTCTTAAAGAAAAACATCTAGCCACACACAGAAACAACAAAAACCAAACTCGAGTCATCTGGAATGTGTGGGAGTTAACAAGTCCTATAGCCAGATTCTGAAGAACTTTCAAGTTTCCCATCTATTATGGCGTCTATTCCCATCTATTTATCCAGCCCCCACGATGTCTAAGTTGGAAGCTGTCCTTTCGTTCCACCAACATGTGCATCCAAAAATTGTTTTAAACTCCGTTCTCTTTAGCTCAGCTCTAGAGTTGGATTCCCACTTGCCTCTTGCAATTTAGTGGCTTTGTTTTATTTTTGTGGTTGAGAAATGGATCTTCTAATTAATTCAGTTTTGTTCCCCCATAAAATCTTGCCTGTTCTCTTGAAGTTTGAGGAGTACTATTAAAAGAAGTTGCCTGATTCTGATTTTCCTATATTGAAAACTTTAATCAAGTTCTACCGTACTATCTTTACTCAAGTTTGTCCTACTTGTATAGGCAAAAATATATATATTTTTTATGCTTAAGGAAAAGCCAGGTTTTACCTTCAGAAAAGTGATTTATTTTTTTAAAAAATTTATTTAGGTGATCTCTATACCAAACATGGGGCTCTAACTCATGACCCTGAGATTAAGAGTTGCATGTTCCTCTGACTGAGCCAGCTAGGTGCCCCCAGAAAAGTGATTAGGGCTCCTTTTAATTAAAAGTGTTACCTTACACCAAAGAAATACTTTTATTTAAACTGTGAAAGTATCTTCTAGTTTTAGATAAATAAGGAGGAAAATATTATAAAGTTAATTCTTACTATCAAAGACTGGCTTTTTTATAACCGTGTATTTATGTTAGGCCTCTCAAAGTGAAGCTTTGAGAGGCCTAACATAAGTGGCTTCACCACTGGACTTGTTATTACAATAATATCTATTCCATAAATACTGTGGGTGGTATTTATGTTAAATTAGGTTATTTACATTACATAATTGGTAAAAACCAGGGTATTATATCAAATTTTTACTATATGCCTTTCATTTAAAAAGTTAGAACTTACCAAGATTTTTTTCTAAAGTTGAAGTTCTGTTTTAGAATATTTATATTAATGAAATATTATCAAAAGTAGAAATTTATTAATGGCAGAGAGGTGGGTTGAGGGATGAGGGACTTAGGGTTTCTGATGATTTTGGAAAATATGAAATATACATAAAAGTCATGTTTACATGAATTTGAAAATATATTAAGAACCTCAAATCAGGGGTGCCTGGGTGGCTCAGTCAGTGAAACGGCTGCCACTGGCTCAGGTCATGATCCCAGAGTCCTGGGATTAAGTCCTGCATCAGGCTCCTTGCTCAGCGGGGAGCCTGCTTCTCCCTCTGCCTCTGCCTGCCACTTGCCCTGCTTGTGCTTGTGTGCTTACTCTCGTTCTTTCTCTTTCTTTCTCTCTCTCAAATAAATAATTAAAAAAAACAAAACCCTCTGGGACACCTGGGTGGCTCAGTCAGTTAAGCGGGTGCCTTCGGCTCAGGTCATGATCCCAGGGTCCTGAGATCCCTGCTCAGAGGGGAGCCTGCTTCTCCCTCTGCCCGCAGCTCCCCCTGCTTGTGCTTGTTCTCTCTCTCTCTGACAAATAAATAAAATCTTTAAAAAAAAAAAACACCTCAAAACAAGTAGCTCTGATAATTGTAATATTGCTTTTTTTTTTTTCAGTTTTGCAGAATTCAGTGTAAGCACACTTTGGTTAGTTAATACTATTTGTGGGTATTTTATTACATAAATATTCTCTTTCTTGGGTGTGAGATGTAGCATTAATTTTGATTGATACCATTTCCGTAAAACTTTCCTTGAAGAAAGAACTGTGAATCTACCAAGGATAGATAAGTGACTTTTTTTGGTTAGTGATTTTGTTTTGAGAATGGTGGAAAGCATGGGGTTATTACAGCAGTCTGTGTTTCTTCTGTAGTATTTGTGAAATAGCTCCCATACAGCGTGTTCCTCAGAAGCGTTCTTACAGAATACCTTCAGAAAATGACTGAGGTTAGTTCGAGCACTCTAGTTATTTGGGTTTGTAGAGGAGTCCTCCTAATATCTACTTCCCTGCTTCTGTTACATCCTGCTGAGATAAAGGAATATTTGGATGTTTAATTTTTTTTTTTAAGAGAGGGTGATGGGAGGGGCAAAGGGTGAGGGAGAGAGAATCCTAAGCAAGCTCCATGCCTTAAGTGGGGCTCCATCTCCCAACCCCGAGATCATGATCTGAGCTGAAACCAAGAGTCCGTTGCTCAACCAGCTGAACCACCCAGGCTCCCCCGATTTTTTAAATAATCAATATGTACGCGTTTCCAAGGGTACATCTAGAACAAATTTTTATTGTGAAGTCTTAAGAATTAAAACACTTTCATGTGGCAATATTTACATAGGAACAACTTTAGAATAATCATGGATTAAATTCTCATCATACTTTTATATTTTGTTTTATTCTTCAGGAAATACATATTTCAGAACTGTATGTATTTAATATACTTATTAAACAAGTATTTATTGATAGTACACATTGTTATAAAAGATTTTTGAGTTTTATTAAACCTTGTTCTTTGTTTTATGTTATAAAATGTAATGGAACTTATTTTGGGGGTAGGTGTTTAGATCCACCAAACAACAGCATTTAGTCATAACTATTTTAGTCTGTTACACTGTTTGGTTATATGCCTTAAGGAAATTAAGTGTAACATTGTATCTTTTTACATTGACTTTATCACTGAAGATTGCTGGAAAGTGGGGAAGGGTGGCTAATTTTAAGATAAAGAAGTAATTTCTCTTTTATCTATATCATGGTATTTTATAAATTAAAAATGTTAATCTTGGCAAATTGGTGTCTCAGACTCGGTCATCTCTTACAGGTGACAGGTTCCGATCTATCATTGATGATGCTTGGTGGTTTGGGACAGTGCTAAGTCAAGAGCCATTTCAGCCACAGTACCCTGATAGTCATTTCCAGTGCTACATCGTTAGGTCTGTATGCAGTTGAAAATTAATCCTCTATAAACATTCATTCATTGTGGTGGGTGGTTTTATGAAGAACTATTATGTTTCAGGTTAAAGACTATGATTTAGTCTGTCATTGAGTCCTATCAGTCTCCTCCATGCAGTATCTCTAGGATGCCCCTGTTGCTTCCTGTTCACCAGTACCCCCTTGGGGCAGGCTCTGCTTGCTTCCCTGGGACCATTTCTGTAGCCGCCTGGTATTTCCTCAGCATAATACTGCAGGATCCTTATTCAGGAGCACACATTACATCATTTCCCTTGTTTATGGGAGTCTCTGCTGCTTTCCCATTGGCTCTGGAATAAAGTCACATTCTGAAGTGTGGCATTCAAGGCTCCATGGTGTCTTTGGGTTTTTTTTTCTTATACCTACCCTATGTAAAGCCGCACGGGATTTCTGGCTTTGTCTTTGAACTGCCATACATTTTTATACTTTTTTCTCATATCCTCCTAAAAAAATCTTACTGTTAATATTTAAACTTTTAAAAGCTGCAAAAAGGTTTTCACATTTTCTATTCTTTACTTTTGTAGTGGATACCTAGTTATTAGCCACAAGTCATTTTTATGAGAGGCTAACTGGACTTTTTGTTTTTTTTTAACAGGTGGGACAATACTGAAATTGAAAAACTTAGCCCGTGGGACATGGAACCAATTCCTGATAATGGTATATAATTTTTAAGTAATGAAAATATTTTACCTATGTTTTCAGTTTGGGAAGTGTTTTCAAATTATTATGGTAACTGTGAGCTTTACTGAAACTCCAGACGATTAATGTGTGTCTGGCTCATTGATTCTTATCCTAGGCCCCGGCTTGGTACTGACCGCATCGTAGTGGCCCCGCTGTCCTTTCTCGTACAATCCTGGCTAGTTATTTTGCAGAATTTCCCTTCGTTTGGGCTTTGCTGATATTTATTCATCATCCGGGGTTCGCATTTTTGGCACTAGTGTCACAGAAGTGATATGTGATCCTCAGAGGCACATGATACCCATTTGTTCTATTACCGAGGACGCTAACCTTCATCTTGTGATTTAGGTGTTGTCTGCCGGGTTTCTCCACTGTAAAGCAGCTACTTTTTCCTTTGTAGTGTCTTGTTTATGAGTTTTGACAGCTTAAATATAGTGTATATTTGGTTGATTATTTTTCTTTTTGTTCTTTTTAATGGAATTCATAGTTGATCCACCTGAAGAATTAGGAGCTAGTATTTCTGTCACTTCCGATGAGCTAGAGAAACTGCTCTACAAACCACAAGATGGTGAATGGGGTCAGAAATCGAGAGATGAAGAGTGTGAACGAATTATTAGTGGCATAGATCAACTTTTGAATCTTGGTAAGTTTTTTAGTGTGAAGTTTCATGTTCAAGTTTTCCTTTCCTCAAAGGTATTTTAAAATTGTAGCAAGCTGTGGTTGTGTTCTTCACTACAGTTTCTATTTGCTACTTTTTGGTTGGGCCTGCAGTGTTAAGTGTAGCTCTGTTTTTAAATCATTTGTAGAGAAATAATCCCTTAAGAGTAATGAATTTATTGATCAAGAATTCTTCTGTCTGCCTCCACAGACATAGCTGCAGCTTTTGCAGGTCCAGTTGATCTGTGTACGTATCCAAAGTACTGTACTGTGGTAGCTTATCCAACGGATCTGTACACAATTCGAATGAGACTCGTTAATCGCTTTTACAGGTCAGTAGAAACCTCCTTTACAAATAGTTTGAAAGGGTCTTTGGTTGTCCTGACCAGAGTGAACGGAAGTGGTGGTTGATGGTGACAGTGATGGAGTGGGAGCTGATTAGCATTACTTTCTGTTGCATTCTCTTCTTTCATGATGGTCATTTGTGGTCTTATGTGTAAGACACTGTTAGATGTTTAGATGAGAAATACCGTGTTTCATTCCTCAATCTTTTGTAGTCTGCTTTTCTTATGAATTATGTTGTTAGATATTGTATTTGTTTTTATTTGCATGTTAACATTCCTATTTAGCAGCTCGATTTAAAGATAAAATTTAACTTGGTTGAAGATGGGCCTTTGAAAGATTAATTCCCCAGACTCATCAGCTTTTTATCTTTGGCTTCTAGAGCACTGGTAACTGTAAAGTTTCTTATCCTCGGTGATTTTTTTTTCAAATAATTTATGGAATTTTTTATAATTCATCTACTTCAAGAAATTAGCTATACAAAAAACTGGCTTCTTATATTGTTTGTGTAGCCAAACCTGGGAATGTGCATTTGTTCAGAAACCACTCTGCCAGGTTACTCTCTCAGGATTAATGATATTTAACACATTTTCTTCATTGAGTAGCTTCAATTGTATCTCTAGACAAGGTGAAAGGGAGGGTTGCTCTGTTGGTTTTCTGGATTAAGTGATCTGTTAAGATTTTTGGTTTTTAAATGTATTCTCTATCGTTTAGCTTCTGATATAATTGCTTATAACTGTGATCATGTTGATAGCATTAGAAGGTTATTCGTTGTAACTTTGGCACTTAGATTTAATAATATATGCTGGCTTAATTTTTTTTTTTTTTTTACTTGGTTTCTGTCTTTTCATTTTCTATGTCCTAAATTGCCTACTTTTTATTTTGAAGGAGGCTATCTGCATTAGTTTGGGAAGTCAGATACATAGAACATAATGCCAGGACATTTAATGAACCCGAGAGTGTAATTGCAAGATCAGCTAAGAAGATAACTGACCAACTTTTAAAATTTATAAAGTAAGTTACCTCCTATTACAGATGTTGTGAAAAGGTGACTTTTCATATTGTACCTCTTGCAACCAGCCAGTTTATAATTTTTGCTCTCTGAATTATACCTGTTTAATGTGCTACATTAAATGACATTTCTTTATATATATATTGTGAACATAATTTCAGTAAAGGCATGAGAAATTGAACAATCCAAATTTTTCTGTTTTTTAAAACTTTGAACTAATTTTATACTATACAGAGTTGTCCTAAAAATACCCTTCACCCGGTATCCCCTTAGGTTAACATTTTTCGTATCTGTGGTGTCCTCATGAAACATTAAATTCTCCTTGGTGTAATACTAATGACTGCAGTCCAGAACACCTGTGGATTTCCTCAGTTCTTTACTCCAGTAGCCTTGCTCTGTCTTCAGGACCCAGTCCAGACCGCCGTGGCTTTCACGCATCTGCTGTTTGTGTGTCCTTTCATCTGTTGCTTGGCTTTCCCTTCTTTCCTGACCTCATCATTTTTTCTCAACACTTTTGTGGAGAGTATTGAGTTTGAGTTTGTGAGATGTGTTGTCATGACTAGACTGGTTTTCGTCTCTTTGGGGTTGTATCCCATGAGCATGTTTGTGTAAGTGTGACTTTGCACATGCTTGCTTTCACTGGCAGATCAGTTTGGAAGAGTAGGGTGGAAACTGACTTGGAAAGTGAGATCTGAGTTTTAACCTAATCTGTTCAACTGAACATTCTGTGTCACTTTGGACAAATTACTCAGCCTGTTTCCTTCAAAATTAATGAGTTTTGCTGTATGATCTTTAATGCCTTTTTCTACTATAGCCATGCAAATTGTTGGAAAGAATTATGTATTGGAGAACATGGTTTATAAACTGTGCCATCATTTTCACCATTAGGCTACACACTGGGAAATAACTGGTTCTAGTCTATCTCATTTTGCTGGGTTGAATCTGCCTCTTGCCTGGATGACTTGGACTTATTTCCCCTTCTCCAGCACTTTCATTTTTTTCTACTTCGGAAAAATCACATACCCATGTTCATCTTCCTTGTTCATAGACATTCCTACTTTAGCATTCTTTCTTCTGTGTGTGTAGTGAAGATAGAATTTGCTTTAATTTCTACTTTTCCCCTCTATTTTATCTCCATCAGCCATGTTCTTGGTACTCGCTATATGAATATATTACTAGCGATGATGTGTAGGAAAACTCATCTGCACATTCATCCAGTTGAGCTCATGTATTTACTATTTCTGGATTACCAGCTTAAGTTTTATACATACATAACTGGGCGGGGGGCGGGGGGACTTGCTTTCAGTATTCTAAGATGGTCAGTTGTTTCCACAGAGTGTAGATTAAAAAACCCTGGTATTCCACTGCTTGAAATTAGGCATGCAAACTTGGGGCACTGTTCATATCTTAACCTGCAGTTTGAATTTTTGACAACAGTAGTAACTACATCTGCATACTCTTAAAAACGTGAAAAATTGTTTTTTAGGAATCAAGACTGTACAAATATCTCAGAACTTTCTAACACTTCTGAAAATGATGAGCAAAATGCCGAGGATTTGGTATGAAGTTTGTCAATTTTATAATGATTTTTGTTAATTTCAAATGGTAACTTAAAAATATTAGTGAAGTAGAAAATATCAATTCTCACTGTATTCCAGTGAACTATGAAAACTGTTTTGATAAAAATATATATATATTTTTTTATTTTGTTAGTCACCATACAATACATCACCAATTTTTGATGCAGTGATCCACAATTCATTGTTTTCTTAAAACCCCCAGCGCTCCATGCAGTATATGCCCTCCGTAATACCCATCACCGGACTAACCCATTCCCCCCACCCCCCTCCCCTCTAAAACCCTCAGTTTGTTTCTCAGGAGAGATGACCCACGAGAGACTATGGACTTTGAGAAAAAATATATTTCTTAATTGTCTAGATGTTCAGCGAGGTAATTTGTTTTAACTAGTAATTGCTACCAAATAAACAAAGTATGTCTATATGAATAACATAGCTGCGGAATATGTTCTGTACTTTTGGTAAAACCAATATCTGGGAGTTGGATTTAATTGTAATTAAAAATTCATGAACTTTTACGATGCTCACAGTACCCACAAATTCTTCATTCAAGACGGTATTGAAGTTTAAGGCAGGTATCAATGGTGTTGAATAATTTTACTTTATACAGAATCAGGCAGGAAGTTGCAGTTGTAGGAAGGATATTCTTTAAAAACACTACTCATGTCAGTATAGTGTCAATTTCTATGCAAGCCCTTATTGTAATTCACTGATTTTCATGCTAATTTATATTGTAATAAAAATGGGTATACAAATATTTGATTTAGAGAATAAGAAAATGTATAGAGTAGGAGATTCAGGAAATGCAGGAGATGGTTTTTAGGGTTTTATGGGTAGAGGTAAAACACAAATTTAAAGTTGCTTATGCATGTTCTTAGGGAATGTAAGGGGTTATTAAGAATGATTGGTTTGTTGGAGTCTGGGTGCCACAAACATCATCTGATAGGGTCTGCCTTTTGAGATTTTTGTAAACAAGTTAAAACCCTTGTAAGACCTAATGTCTTTGATATGCTTTTAGATTATTACATTTCTAATGAGAATATTAACACTTAAGCTGCTCTGATTTTTATTCCTAGGATGATAGTGATCTTCCTAAAACATCTTCGGGAAGGAGAGTAAGTTAATCTGCCTGATTGATCTTTGTTGTTTACTTATTCTGTCTTTTAAAAGCAATCTAAGGGGGCACCTGGGTGGCGCAGTTGGTTAAGCGTCTGACTATCGATTTCGGCCCAGGTCATGATCTCAGGGTCATGAGATTGAGCCCTGGGTGAGGCCCTGTGCTGAGCCCTGGAGCCTGCTTTTAAGATCCTCTCTCTATCCCCCTACCCCACCCTAGCCTTGCGAGCATGCACATGCTTTCTCTTTCTCTCAAAAAAAAAAAAAAAAAATAGCTTAACATTTTAAATGTTACCCAAATGCTGCTTAAATTTAAGCTTTTTACCGTATTAATTTTACTAATACGCTTGCCCCAAATAACACTGAAGAAGTTAGACTTGAATTATTGTCATCTGATTGTCATTTTCATATAATTTCATTTTTAAACAGACTCCCAAGTGTTTAGTATCTCTTTAGTATTTGTTTGCTATGGCTGCTATAGCAAATTACAAATCTAGTGGCTTAAACAATTTTAAAAGATGGTGTTGGGGCGTCTGGGTGGCTCAGTTGGTTAAACATCTACCTTCGGCTCAGGTCATGATCCTGGGGAAAAAAAAAAGGTCTTCTGTAGATCAGCAGTTGGACATGGGTCTCTGTGAGCTAAAATCAGTGTCAGCATAGCTGTGTTCCTTTCTGGAAGCTGTAGGGTAGAATCCCTTTCCTTGCGTTTTTCCAGCTTCTAGAGGTTCATGTCACCTCTTTTATCTTCAGGCCAGCAGCTTGAAGTCTCTGGCTCTGACTCTTCTGCCTCACTCTGTTTTGTTTGTTTAACATTTATTTATTTTAGAGAGAGAGCGAGTGCGCACAAGTGGGAGGGGGAGAGGGAGAATCCCAAGCAGATTCTGTGCTGTGTGCGCAGTCCAGTGCAGGGCTCAGTCTCACGACCCTGAGATCATGACCTGAGCCAAAACCAAGAGTCGGATGCTTAACCAACTGAACCACCCAGGTGCCCCTCTTCTGTCTCACTCTTAAAAGGACCTTTGTGATTATATTGGGCCCATCCTGATAATCCAGGACAGTCTTCCCATGTCAAGATCCATGCCGTTAGTCAAGTCTGCCATGTAAAGTGACAGTCATGAGTTCTTAGGATGTGGGTATCTTTGGAGCCATTAATTAGCCTACCAGTTTATCCCAGGTGGTACCTCATATTCTGTGAAAATATTCTCTATACTTGGGAGATAAGTGGTGGGATGAACAATATTTTCAGAGTAAAGGGTGTGATGCTATTGGGTTTTTACAGAAAAGTGGGTTTCTTCCAAGTAGGCAGAAAATAAGAGTAGCCCTATTGTTACAGTACAGAAGACAACTCACTTGGATTTCTACCACCATACTGTGCCATATCACTCTTAAATTTTCAAGACTGAAAAAACTTTTAATACTGTAAATGTGTTTTTAGGTCCATGATTGGAAAAAAAGGAGCATCAAAGCGACCAACTATGTTGAAAGTAACTGGAGGAAACAGTGTAAGGAACTAGTGAACTTAATTTTTCAGTGTGAAGATTCTGAACCATTTAGACAACCTGTTGATTTGGTTGAATATCCAGTAAGTTGTCATTGTTTGAACGTTTGGGCCTTTTCTTGTTTTGTATAGAGATTGGGGTGGAAGTATTTAAAGTGAACTTTAATGAGTAAGATGTCTTAGCTTCATGTTAACTTTGTCTCTTACCACTGAGTGGAAGAGTTGTATTACACAGTTTTTCTTGAATCTATAGACACCCCTGTAACTTGGGCTGCGACTTAATCACTGCTGCATCATAATGGGAGGATTCTACATGGTTATTATCTTAGTAGGGCCAGCCCCAGGAAAACTGTAAATTGGATAAAAGCATCTGTATTCATTCCTTCAGTATGGGTAATGGGAAATGACCTTAAAAAAAAAAAGATTATAAAACACAAATTTACTCTAGGAAGCTTGGAAATTATGTAAGAGTGTAAAGAAGGAAATAAAAATCATTCCACGTCCTACCAAGTATATCATTTTGGTATATTTCTTATCTTGTCTTAATGTCTGGGTCTCTTTTTAAAAATTATGGATGATTCTTAAGGTCTCCTAACCTTTTTCTCCCCTCTCATTTTGAATATTTTAGAGATCTGATGCACTTGGATTTCTAAAAGTAGGAATCAAATCTTTGAACTAATTATTGTTTTTTAAAACCTAGGACTACCGAGATATTATAGATACTCCAATGGATTTTGGAACAGTAAGGGAAACTTTAGAAGCAGGAAATTATGACAGCCCTTTGGAATTTTGCAAAGACATCCGGTTGATATTTAGCAATGCAAAAGCATATACACCAAACAAAAGATCAAAGGTAATTTTAAAAGTGGTTATCAGAGAAAAAAGTGCGTAATCTATGTTGATGGTCATTTTCTGCTTGCTGGTAAATGTTGGAACATTACAGATAAGAGAGAAACCACTGGTAAGAATAGCGCTCTGCCGCTGCCCAGATGTCTGCAGTTGGTCCCTTACAGCAATTCACGTTTACCTTTCCTGAAGTTGTATAAACAAATGGGAATTGGTGGGAGTGCGGCTGCCGGTGAACTTGATACATAGAAGGAGAAAAACCTGTGTTTTCATGCATGTAGGACTCTTGACAAGTGGATTAGAAATTTACTGAGAGAGGCTGGAAGGATATTACAAACAAGCGAAGGAAGATCTGAAGCAGGGGTGGGACTGCTGACGCTCTACTGATATTTCGGATGCAAAGAGGAAGCACGCGTGCGATCTGATTCTTTAAGAACACTAGGAGAGAGGGCATCCCTGAAGTCGTATTAAAATGTTACACATTGGATAACTTTTCAAAATTTGTTGAAGCATAATAAATGTACAAAAGGGTACATGTACTCTCAGCGAATTTTCACGAATATCACAAAACCCTTGTAGCCAGTGTGTGTTGGGTAATTGAAAAAACAGCAATGATTTGAGAAGATCTTAGAGCACTTGCTTAATATGGTAGCACCTTGTCTATGATCAGTGACTATCACTGCTAATTAACCATTTTGCCTTAATTTCACTTTCTCTTCATTATTTATTACCAGACTCCCTGTGTTATTTTTAATCTGAGAACTCTTTCCTTGCATTTAGTATGCAAATTTAACATCAATTTAAACATCACTTTAACGTCAAGTCTTTTTTCCACGCTTGTGTTATTGTCAGTATTCATATCATTAGTGAGACACTTTCTTTCCAGAAAGAAAATAAATCTCATCCGTGCCTCTTTCCCCTTTTATTTTAAAATACATATTTGAGGATACATCACCCATTTACAGTGTACAATTTATTGGATTTTTGTGTATTACGTTACCAGATTTTCAAAGTTGTGGTTAAACATGTGTGACATAGACTTTATTTTAACCACTTGTAAGGGTACAATTCATTGACATTATATTCACAGTGTTGCTTAGCTTTCCAAAACTCTCTCGTCAACCCACACAGAAGTCCAAACCGCCAAGCAGTAACTCCGCACTCTCTCCTTCTCCCAGCCCTTGGTAATAATATCTCCTCTCCTTTGTTGGTATGCATCTGCCTATTCTAGATGTTTGATGTAAGTGGAATCACACAGCATTTGTCCTTTTGTGTCGGGCTTCTCTCACTCAGCAGAACATCTGAAAGGTTCATCCATGTTGTAACGTGTATGAGAACTTTATTCCTTTTATGCCTGAATAATACTCCATCGTATGGATATATGACATTTTGTTTATCTCTTCATTTCCTGCTGGACAGTTGAATTGTTTCTGCTTTTTGGGTATTACGCGTAATGCTGCCATGAGTATGGATCACGTCATCTGTGAAGAGCGATAGTTTCACTTTTAGCTTTACAATCTGATTTTTATTTCTCTTTTTGTCTAATTATTCTGGCTAGAATTTAAAGTGCATTGGTGAAAGGAGGCAATCTTATTCCTCATCTCGGGGGGAATGATTTTCTGTCTTTCACCATTGTATATGATGATGACTCTGGGTTTTTTATTTTTTTTAATTTTTTAAATTTTTAAAAAAATTTTATAACTCTGGGTTTTTTTCATACATGCCGTCTTTTCATTTTGAGGAGCTAATAATTTTAACACCCGTTTTTGTTAAATGTTTATGTTCAAATGTATCACTGAATTTTACATAAAACCTAATGAGAAGACAGATAATATGAAGAATCAGAGGTTTCAAACTTCATATGATTAAGAAAACAAATCACTTTTAAAACTGGTGACTTACACTAGAATTCAGATTTGAAGGAAAAGAATAAATTTAAGGTATATACAAAATACTGGAAGTAATTGTCAAAGATCATTTCAAAGATGAAGTGGGATTTTGAATTTCACATATATTGTGAATATGTATATAAAGCATATAGGAAATTCATGTATCCCAAACACTTTTTTTTAAAGATTCTTTAGTGTTAGTCTCTCCACCCTTCAGCCCAGTGCATCAGAGTGATTGATACGTAGCTTTTGAACATTAGACTTTTTCACTTACTTTCCAAGAATGATTGTGAATGAGTCGAGAGTACTTCCTGTAAATACATAGCTGTACCAAAGTTATTTACAGTAGCACTTAACATCACACTGCTTGAATTCTTTGAAAGATTTGATACTATTTAATTGTAAAAACTGTTTAAACATAGTCTTTCACATCTTTTAAAGTTCTAGTGCCTATTTTCTTCTCCTGGAGGAAGATAGCCTTTGGTCTGTAATTCATGTTTAGATCCGGGTGGCAACAGAGGCCGTCACATTGCAAGTTGGAGACCAGGGTGAAAGTGCCTTTGTTTCCTCATCCCAAGGAGACACTGCTCTTTTGCTGCCTAATAAATAGCAATCCTAAAACCCACCAACTTCTCATCTAACTTTGGGAGAAGGGGACATTTTTTTTTGGATTTGTACATGTAAATGTGAAAATGTGAAAAGCCAAATGAGAACCGTTGACATGTAGACATCAGTCCCAGATTCCAGAGAATTGCTTGATTTAAAACGACTTTCTTTTCGTCTGAGAGGTGTATGTCTGATGCTGCCTGTTTCTTGCAGGTGTCACTGTTATAGACAACAGTGATAGAATAGATTGCAAGTAGCCTGTGTGTTAGACATTTTTTTTGTGAAAGTATTTTAAAAGGTATGTTGTAGTTCTAGTTTTGCTTTCATATCCTTGCAGATTTACAGCATGACCTTGAGATTGTCTGCCTTATTTGAAGAAAAAATGAAGAAAATCTCCTCTGATTTTAAAATTGGTCAAAAATTCAGTGAAAAACTTCGAAGAAGCCAGAGGTTCAAGAGACGGCAAAATTGTAACCGTGTCAATCAGGCTAACAAAAGTATCAGGTGAATTGGTTATTGCAGGCTTTGTATGCAAATAGACGAATTTCAGGTTGTGATACTTCTTTAATTTTATTATGCTAAAATGATCAGGAGTACAGTATGTTCAGAAAGATTAGTTTTTTAAGGCTTGAAAGCACTGCATATAGAGCTACTGTAGAATTTGTAATTAGGTAAATTTTAAAGCATTTAATGAAAATGACAGATTTAAAAAATGTTAGGATTAAAGTATTATTTATTACGTAAGAAGCTTTTTTTTAGTGCAGAGAGTAAAGTGGTTACTTTGTGTGACCGCTGAGCATTTATTTGACTGTGTAAGGGAAATATCGAAGAAACATTATGCACCCTATTTTTTTCTGAGGATTGGTTGTAAAGAAATATAAAATACAGGGCTTATTCTCTATCAGGAATTTAATATTACGTTCTGTCTTTGTGTAGCTTACATTGATATCAGATTTCCAGGTACTTTAAAGTGTTGAAATGTGAAAATGGAGAAATTCAGTGTTTAGTCTGTGTCCAGCCTCCTTTTGAACATGCACTGAACGATGATGGGTGTCTACCTGCGAGTTTGGGGATTAAACTCTCAATTCAGAACTGTCTCCTTCAGATTCATACTACTGATTCTCATAAGAAGTTTGTTCTAGGCTTAGCTTCCTCTCTCCCTTTTTTGTGCTATTGTTGTCAGATTACGTCTTTATATATTATGGTTTATCTAGTTTTCCTTAATATTGCTTAGGAAAAGAATAAAAAAATCATTTATACTATTAATTATATTTACATACGTGATTACCTTTCCCAGTAGTTTTTATTTTTTGTGTGGAGTGAGTTACCCTCTTGGTGTCCTTTCTTTTCAGCCTGATGTCCTTTAGTGTTTCTTATAAGGTGCATGTGCTAGCAATTCATTCTGATCGGTTTTTGTTGGAGACTAGTTTTGCTGGATATAGACTTCCTGGTTGACAGTGTTTGCTCCCCATCCCCCCCCTCCCGGCCACACACACATTTTGAATATTGCCTTCCACTGCCTGCTGACCTCCGTTGTTTCCCATGAGAAGTCAGCTAGTTGTGCTACTGATGGAGCACAGACGGAATGGTTTTTCTCTTGCTGCTTTGAAAATTCTGTCTTCATTTTGCACCCGACTATGATGTGTGTAGGAATTTTTCCAGCTTTGTAGAGGAATGTTTTTCATCAAATCTGGGTGGTTTCTAGCCATTACTCAAATTATTTCCTGCCCCTTCCCTCTCATTTGGGGGCTTCTACTGTACATATGTGGATGTGATGGATGGTCTCCCACAGGCCTCTGAGGCTCTCTTCATTTTTCCTTCTCTTCCTGTTCTTCAGATGGGATAATACTCACTCACCTACCAAGGTCACGGATTCCTGTACCAGCTCACATCTGCTGCTGAGCCCGTCTCCTGAATGTCTGTTTCAGTTATTGTGCTTTTCAACTCCAGAATCTGTTTGTTTTTTTGTTTTTTTGTTTTTTTTTTTTGTAATTTCTGTGTCTTTCATGGATATTCTCTGTCATCTTCCTTTTATTCTGTAAACATTATTTCATTTGGTTTTTCAAATGTGTTTATAATAGTTGATTTAAATATCTTTAGTTCAACATCTGGGTCCTTTCAGAGACTGTTTCTGTTGCCTGCATTTTTACCTGTATGTGGGCAAACTTCCTTGACTCTTGGTATGTCTTGTACTGTTCTGTTGGAAACAGTACATACTTAATAAAATAATGTTGCCATTCTGGAAATACCATCTCTTCAGGTTTTCTTATTGCTCTTTGTTAACATATTGTAGAAACTGGATTCTGATCCTTCTCCCTCCCTCAGTGATGGTGCTTGTTGCTGGTTTTGTTTAGTGAGTTGCCTAAACCATTTCTGTAGTCTGTCTTTCCTGCATTGTTAAGCCACTGAAATCTTTTTAAAAATTAAAAAAAAAAAAAAAAGATGGGGTTGTGTTCCTGGATATCTTCCCTAACTTAGCATAGCTCAGTGATCAGAAATTTGTGCTTACACACTTGAAGTAAGCCTTCCACCCTTTTCTGAGGAAGGTCTTTGTGTGGAGTGGGGCAGACTTCACCTTCTGCCTATATTTTTCCAGGCGTGAGTCTCAAGGTCTGCCAAGGACAGCTAGATAACGGGGCTCTCCTTGAGTATATGTAGAACCTTGAGTATTTGTAGAACCTCCCACATCCCCAGAAAGGCATTGGAGCTTTTCAAAGGCTCTTGTGACTGTCTCATTCCCTAGATCTCCTTTAAATTTTTGGCTGAACTACTATTGGCTCTAACCAGTGTCACAGCTTAGGCAGCTGTGTGGTTGGCCTGGCTGGATTGCTGACAGTGAGTTTGGTGCCCTGGGGCAGAGCATGCGCTGCTTGGTGAAGCTCCCAAATCAGGCCCAGCTCCCTTTGCCTCTTCATCCTGGTCCTCAAGGCTGTGCCACAGAATTGGGGTGTGCGTGACTGGGAGAAGCCCAAAGTTAAAATGCCAAAAACTCCAGCCAAATTTTTTCTTAGATTCAGAGGGTTTTCTTGAATAAACACTTTTTTAATTGGTTAAATGCCTGTGATTACTTTCCAGAGTTGTGAAATGACTTTTTTGGATGATTTTGCCAGTTTTATCTTTGCTTTTTGGGTGAGAGGATCTGCCATAGTCTTCCTCACATCCCTGCCCCCTTGTTTAGACTAACAGAGCTGCCCTGAAACAGGTAAACCTGTGCTCCTGAGGTAAATGAGTTTGTCCTGTTTAGCTGCTTCACAGCCTGTAATTCAGGGACATACATCACGAAGTACTTACTATGTGAGTCCTCCGCGCCTTTTTTTTTTTTTTCCAACTTTTAATTCTGAAATAATTTCAGAATTACAGAAAAGCTGAAGAATAATTGAAAGAACTACTTTATACTCCTTACCTGGACTCACCAGTTTTTCATAGTATGTTAACATTTGCTTTATCATTGCTCTTTTTGTTACATGTTTTTCTTCTGAATCATTCAAAAGAATATTTCTGACATCCTACTCCTTTACCCCTAAATACTTAGTGTGGATTTGCAAAAAAAAAAAATTCTAACCACACCTTACTGTATTATTTCTACCATTGACCCAATAATGTCCTTAGGGCGAATTTTTTTTTTTTTTTTATCTAGACCCAAAGGAGGATCTTGCGTTGCGTATAGTTACTGTTTCTTTAGTCTGTTGTTTAAAAAAATATTAACTCATTTAATCATCACACAATACTGTTTTCCTTTTAAGTAATCTCTACACACAATGGGTTCGAATTCACAACCCTGAGATCAAGTCACAGGCTCCACTGACTGAGCCAGCCAGGCGCCCTTCTTTAGTCTTAATTAGGAATTTTATTTTCAACCTTTGTCTTCTTAATTGACATTTTTGGAGAGTATAGGTCATTTATTTTATAAAATGAACCTCAGTTTGGGTTTTTCTGTTATCGTATGAGTTTAATTTTTTTGTTTAATTATTTTAAAAAACTCTCTCTTTGAACCAATGAAGAGTCTAACAGTTGAGAAAGACATAGGATAAAAGGGGACCAATCTTACTCTGGAGGTATTTACCACTTGTTTTCTGTTTAAAATGAAGATTATGATGAATATGAGCATGTAATTATTTCTTTTTGTATTTATTTGTCCCTTCAGTTGATAGTAATGGAAGTTAATAATTTGACATAAGCTTGAAATTTCTTGATGACAAAACAGCTGCTGCTTTAAAGAACCTTGTGGTTGTCTTTAAGCTCAGATTAGATTCTCTTAAAAGCTCCTTTATCTTGTTGTTTTAAACGAAAATAGGATTTTTCATCATGAATATTACCCAGATCTGTAATTTGAAACCAAAGACTGTCTTGTCCTAAACTTCTACTTTTTCTTCATAATCCATGGCTGAGGGACCCAACACGGTGAACTAGTTGGTACTTAAAAGTAAACAGATTGGTCGTAGAAAAAACTACCTTGTTCTGATCTCTTTTTTTGCCTCTGTTCTTACTCTTTAGGTTTTTTGCTTTCTCCGCTTAATTTTATACAGTCTTTAGGAACATATAAATAGATGAGAGAGAAAATTGTGTCTTACCGAGACTCAGTTTTGTAATATGAATGAATGCCGGTATTACAGAAATGTTGGCTCTTCTTATTAGCATTTAATCCAAAGAACTTATGATATTCAGTCTGACTCTCTGTAACTCTGCTCCTTGGATCATTTGTTCATTACTCCAGTTTGGAATAAAATTATGTCCAATTTAGAGTAAGAAAATTAGTCGTAATCCATGTCAGAATAAGATGTTAACAATATTTTAATGTTTTGATCATAAAATTATTCTCAGGTTAAGTAATAGTACACTTCTACTCAGGCAATCTTGGTTTAATTAGATTTTGTTTCCTTTGTTCCTGTCTTTGACCAGAAATACCAAGCAGAAGCGGTTAAAATCTCAGACAAAAGTAATTCCTGAATTGGTAGGTTCTCCTACCCAGTCTACCTCCAGTAGGGCCGCTTATTCTGCGAGCCAGAAGACAAGTGCTAGTGTTTCTTCAGGGGTGACGTCTGGTGACTCCTCAGACTCAGCAGGATCGTCAGAAAGAATGAGAAGTAGGCCTGTCACTCTACACAATGGCTCTACGTTATCTGGTGAGACTATCCAGCACTCACATGTAGAGCACTGCCAGTTACTGTGGGTTCAGGGGAAAGAATAAATGAGACTGGCCTACCAGTTGAGGAATTTACAATTCAGTGATAGAGTCAGAAGTAACAAATGCGCAGCAGTTACTATATGTTTGATAAGTGCTGGTGTTTGCAAATGGTGCAGCCACATTCTATGCAAACTTGAATCTTCTACATTTTAAATCATGGGATATAAATATCACACTTTGTATGCAAAATGTGATGCTTTTGTTTTTCTTAAAAAAAAAAAAGGCATCATCATCATGTGAGCTTAAAACTGGATGGCCTAGTAAATTCTAAGCTCTTTATGTTCTTGGCTGTTAGGTAGTATAACTGGAGCTGATCCTAACCCTTTGTTAGCATTGTGGGAATGAGGCTGTGGTGGGTGTATACTTCCCTGTTGCTCTGAGTGAGTCTGGTGACTTGTGATGATGGTGTAAAAATTACTATAACTTAATAGGACCAAGGAGGTAGAATGTAGCCACATAGTAGAGTGGCAAGCCTTACAGAAGAGTCTGGATTACTTAATTGGGTCCCTTGATGAGTAAGGGAATCACATGATGAATTCTGCTTCAGGAAGATCAGTCAGTTTGGCAGTGTTATGCAGGGAAGGGGAAGAATCTAGAAACTGAGTCAGTGTGCTGGGGAGTGGAATGGAGTAGAATAGGAGCAGTCAGAGTGGCAGACAGTGAGAGGAAGAAACGCAGCTTGGTGACTGGTGTCCTTCTAGCGCAGCCGCTTTCTTTAATGCACAGTTGGGGTTGTGTTTGTGGAGCAAAACTTTTATCTTTTAGCAACGTGCTCCCGCTCACTTCGATGCAACGCATTCTGTGATATGTATGTGAGGATGGAGTGACGAAAGAGCGGGAAGCTTCTCTGTACCATGTGCACCCTGGAGCATGCACTCATTCAGTGAAGTAGTAGGGAGAGCTGACCTGTACTGTTTATTTTTTCTATCCCTCCCTCCCCCTTTCTGGTAGAATATGGGGAAATGACCTCTTGAGCTGAAAGCGTGTGTGGTACCACTGTGCTGTTACAGGGGTTACTAGCCAAAGGCCTGAAAGTGTCCACTGACGTGAGACTTAACAGTGGTTGTCTTTCCTACAGGAAATACCAGTCTCATAGGATAGAAGTGGGGGCTAATTACATTTTTAAATGGAAGTTTATGAAATACGTAAACTATATTTTCTGAATCCAACTCAGGATTAATATGCTCCTTTCAGAAATAAGAGAACAAATTTGATTTGTAATGCTGATTACCTACTTTTTAATGCCAGAATTTTATGAGCTGGTCTTTGAAACGGTTTTTAAAAATAACAATCTCTAAGTATTTTTGACCATCTTCTTTTAATCTGTTTTTATGAAACAACTGCTTGTGTGTATAAAGATAGAATATGTGTGATGAACTGTTGATGCTTTGTTTTTCTTAGAAAGTGAAATGGAAGATTCCTTAGGTACCTCTTCATCATCAGCTTCAAATAGTTCAGAGGAAAGCAAAGAGAGTTCAAGACCTCGTGAATCTTCCTTACGTAGTGGGCTGGCCAGAAGCAGTAATCTCAGGGTGACCAGAACCAGAGCTGCTCAAAGAAAAACTGGTAAGAGACTCAGTGTTTGGTACTTTGGAGGAATGTATATCAAGGGAATCCGTAAGCTAAGCATGGAATGGTTTATTGTTTTAATGTATCTACTACATATGGTTAAATGTCCTTTTTCGATTTTTTTTTTTAAGATTTTATTTATTTATTTGTCAGAGAGAGAGAGCACAAGCAGGCTCCTCGCCGAGCCGGGAGCCCGATGCAGGACTCGATCCCACGACCCTGGGATCATGACCTGAGCTGAAGGCACATGCCTATACTGACTGAGCCACCCAGGCGTCCTTCCTTTTTAGATTTTTTAAAAATTGAGATATAATTGACATATATTCTATTTCAGGTGTACAACATAATGATTTGATATTTGTATACACTGCAAAATGATCACAAAAAGTGCAGTTACTGTCAGTTACTGTACATAAAGTTTTTCTTTATTTCTTGTGATGAGGACTATTAAGATTTACTCTTAGCAGCTTTCAAGTATGCAAGAGTATTAACTATATAGTCATGCTGTACATTACATCCCTGTGACTTATAACTGGAAGTTTGTACCTTTTGATCTCCTTCACCTCCCCTCCCCCACAAATCTGTTCTGATCAGTGAGCTTAGTTTTTTGATTGGTTTTGGTTATTTTGTCTGTTAGGTTCCACATACAAGTGAAATCACACAGTATTTGTCTCTGTTGACTTTTTTCGCTTAGCATAACACCTTCAAGGTCCATCCATGTTGTCACAAATGACAAGATTCCATTCTTTTTTTTTTTTTTTTAAGATTTTATTTATTTGACAGAGACAGCGAAAGAGGGAACATAAGCGGGGGCGAGGAACAGGAGAGGGAGAAACAGGCTTCCCACTGAGCAGGGAGCCCGATGTGGGGCTCGATCTCAGGACCCTGGGATCATGACCTGAGCTGAAGGCAGACACTTAACAACTGAGCCACCCAGGCACCCCTCCATTCTTTTTTATGACTGAATAATATTCCATTGTATAGATACACCACATCATCTTTTCCATTCATCCGTCGATGGGTGCCTTGTTTGTTTCCGTATCTTGGCTTTTGTAAGTAATGTTGCAATGAAATTGGGGTGCAGATATCTTTTTAAATTAGTGCTTACGTTCTGCGTGTAGCACTGGGTATTATGCACAAACAATGAATCATGGAACACTACATCAAAAACTAATGATGTAGGGCGCCTGGGTGGCTCAGTTGGTTAAGCGACTGCCTTTGGCTCCGGTCATGATCCTGGAGTCCCGGGATCGAGTCCCGCGTCGGGCTCCCTGCTCAGCAGTGAGTCTGCTTCTCCCTCTGACCCTCTCCTTTCTCATGCTCTCTCTATCTCATTCTCTCTCTCAAATAAATAAATAAAATCTTTAAAAAAAAAAACAACGATGTATGGTGATTAACATAACAAAAAATAAATTAGTTCTTAGTGTTCTTTTTTTTAAAGATTTTATTTATTTGACAGAGACACAGTGAGAGAGGGAACACAAGGAGGGGGAGTGGGAGAGGGAGAAGCAGGCTTCCCGCCGAGCAGGGAGCCCGATGCGGGGCTCAATCCCAGGACTCCGGGATCATGACCCGAGCCGAAGGCAGACGCTTAATGACTGAGCCACCCAGGCGCCCCTAGTGCTTAGTTTTCTTTGGATAAATACCTAGTAGTGCAATTGCTGGATCATAGGGTAGTTCAAGTTTTAACTTTCTGAGGACCCTCCATACTGTTATCCACAGTGGCTGCACCAGTTTGCATTCCCACCAGTAGTGCATGAGGGTTCCTTTTTCTCTACATCTCACCAACCCTGTTTCTTGTCTTTTTGATGATAGCCATTCTAACAGGTGTGAGATGACATCTCAGTGTGGTTTTGATTTGCATTTCCTTTATTGGTGATGTTGAACATCATCTTTTCACATTCTTTTTTTTAAATCTTTTTTTTTTTAAGTATTTTATTTATTCATGAGAGAGTCAGAGAGAGGCAGAGGCAGAGGAAGAAGGAGAAGCAGGCTCCCCGCCAAGCAGGGAGCCCGATGCGGGACTTGATCCCAGGACCCTGGGATCATGACCTGAGCCGAAGGCAGACGCTTAACCACCTGAGCCACCCAGGCGCCCATCTTTTCACATTCTGTTGGCCATTATCTGTATGCCATATTATTAAAAATGTCTACTCAGATCGTCTGCATTTTTTAATCAGATTTTTTTTTGCTAATGAAATGCATGAGTTCTTTAAATATTTTTAACAATTAACCCCTTATCACATACATGATTTGTGCATATCAGTAGGTTGCCTTTGTATTTTGTTGATGATTCCTTTTGCTGTGCAGAGGCTTTTAGTTTGATGTAGTCCCACTTGTTTATCTTTGGTTTTTATTGCCTTTACTTTTGGTGTCAGATCCAAAAAAATCATTGGCAAGATCGATGTTAAGGAGCTCACCCCCTGTGTTTTCTTCTAGGAGGTTTATGGTTTCAGGTCTTAACATTCAGGTCTTTAGTCCATTTCTGTGTGTGTGTAAGACAGGAATCTCGGCTCGTTCTTTTGCATGCTGGCTGTCCAGTGTTCCCAGCACTGGTGAAGAGACTGTCCTTTCTCCATTGTATGTTCTTACCTCTTTTGTTGTAAACTAATTGACCATGTAGGTGTGGGTTTATTCTGGGCTCTCTCTTCTGTTTCATCCTTAGGGCTGCCCCCCCTCCCTTTTTTTTTTTTTTAAAAGAGAATGCATGAGCAGGGGTGGGGAGAGGGAGAGAATCTTAAGCAGGTTCCACACCCAGCACAAGGCAGGGCTTGATCTCACAACCCTGAGATCATGACCTGGCCTGAAGTCAAGAATCAGACACTTAACCTGAGACACCCAGGTGCCCCCATCCTTAGGGCTTTTTAGATTTAGAAGGGAGATCTGTTTTGGCATTAAAAGGTATGGGGTAACTGGGTGATAGACATTAAGGACAGCACATGATGTAATGGACACTGGGTGTTATATAAGACTGATGAATTGTTGACCTCCACTTCTGAAACTAATAAAATATGTTAATTAAATTTAAATTTAAATTTTAAAAATTAAAAAATAAAATACTTATTAAAATATTCACAAAAAAAAGTAGGGAACATCATTTCTAAAATAATAAATTCAGAAGCCTTTTCTAATCTTATTGATACTTTATTTCTAGGTCCAGTTTCTTTAGAGAATGGATGTGGCAGAAAAGCCACTCGAAAGAGAGTCTATTTAAGTGACTCTGATAACAATTCATTGGAGACCGGTGAAAGTCTGAAAGCCAGGGCTGGAAATAACCGGAAAGTGTTACGGAAGTGTGCTGCCGTGGCTGCCAATAAGATAAAGCTCATGAGTGACGTAGAGGAGAACTCTAGCTCTGAAAGCGTCTGTTCTGGCCGTAAGCTGCCTCACCGTAATGCTTCTGCTGTGGCTAGAAAAAAGTTACTACATAATTCTGAAGATGATCAGAGCTTAAAGTCTGAAATTGAAGAAGAAGAGCTAAAAGATCGAAATCAGCCATCACCACTGTCTAGTTCTCATGCTGCCCAGAATACTGTGAATGAGTCAGAAAACGGGGATTCAGAGTCAGAAAGTGATTTGCGAGTAGCCCGCAAAAATTGGCACGCCAATGGTTATAAGTCGCATGCTCCAGCAACTTCTAAAACAAAATTTCTGAAAATAGAATCTTCTGATGAAGACTCTAAAAGTCATGATTCAGACAATGTACATAACAGAACTGCTGGTCCATCCACGTCTGGGCAGAAACTTAAGGCAGAGAGCGTCTCAGAGGAAGAGGAGGAAGCAGATTCTGAACCAAGAAAGTATGCCGGTAGGAAATACAACACAGGTCGCAAGAATCTTACTTTCCTTAAAAAAGCAAAGATCTTCAGTGATTCGGAGGAGTCCGAATCTGAAGAGCAAGATCGAGAAGATGGCAGCTGTCACAGAATGGAAACAAACCTGATTAAAGGGGGTTCGAAGTGTGAACCAACGACTGGGTCCCAGTGTTTCTCAGATCACGTATCTGAGACCGATTTGGATTCAGATGATGACACTGCAAAAGAAAAACCAAACCATATTAGGAAAGGTAATTCAAAACCTATAACCTTGGCTCACTGGCCTGTTCTCACTGTTCTTCTCTCCTTACAGCATACGTTGTTTGTTTTTCCCCATGAAACTTCTCTTCACCAGTGGTTTTCTGTCCACCCCCTGCATTCTCAGTCATTTCTGTGCATCCCTGATGTTCTGTGTGCATGCATGACTGGTTGTCAAGTATGTTTAGTTTTATTCACATAACAGGCAATCTTGACCTCAACAGCTATTTTTAGTAAGATTTCACTTCTTGTATTGGCTGTGGGTTTCAGAAAAGCAGAGGCAAGCACATTTATAAGCTGCGGTGTTAGCCAGTTTCGGAAGAGGAAAGAAAAGGGTAGGACTGTTTACTTGAAAAGGGGTATGTAAGTAAGAGTACCAGCAGCAGCTAGCCAGCAGAATGGCCACCAGGCTGTTCTGTGGGTCAGGGAAATTGTTCTCCGTGCTTTACGTATATTAACTACTAGTTAAGTCTTCATATCTTTTATGAGCTAGATATTATTGTCCACTTTACTCATGGTAACTCTGGGGCACAGAGGGGTGAAATCACTTGCTGATTTAAGGCTGTATTCTTGGTCTTTGGGGGCTGATGACAGATACTGAAGAGCAGGAGGCAGCTAAAGCTAAGATTAAAGGTGTTGGTGTGATTGGAACTTGTGAAGTGAAAAAAAGTTTCAGGGAGGCTGAGGGTCAGTGATTAGTTTGCATGCCCTAGTGCATTGGTAAAGAGAGGTTATTCTGTATTCATGTAAATAAAATGTTTGTGTCAAGTGTATTGTGCATGTAAATAGCAAGCAGGGCACAGGGTGTAAGTGCTGGGGATGTGCTATGCTTATGACTGGTGCTGAGGCTGCACAAAAGGGCACTCACTGCTCTTAGGCATTAAGAGCCCGAACATTCACTGCCATCCTCCTTCCAAGTTAGTAAGAATTCCGGACTTCGGTTGTTGAAAATGTTGGGCATTTAATTTCGTTACACATATTACTCTTACAGATTAAAGGAATGCTCTTAATTTTTAATTTTTAGATTCTACATCACAAGACCATGGACAAAGCAGGAAAGTTTCCAGGAAAAGGGTCTGTTCCAGTGACTCAGACAGCAATTCAAAGGTGGTTAAGAAGTCCTCAAAAGCCAAAACGGGTCTCCTCAGGACTCCTCGAGGACGTGCAGCCACCGCTGCCAGTAAGCTGAAGCTCACGAGTGACGTGGAAGATGTCAGTTTAGACAGCGCATGCACCAGAAGCAAAAGCGGAAGGCAGAAGCCCCTCCGTTCTGCGTGTGTCCCAGCTAAGACGGCGGCGAGTGATTCCGAGGGAGACGTCAACTGTGAAGTGCCAAATGAGCAGTGTGCTTGCCGAGGGAGGCCGCCCGCAGCCAGCTCGGAGGGCAGTGCGAAAAGCCTTCGTCCGTCTTTAAACGGAGACTCGGACTCTGAAGGGCTGCCCAGTCCCGCACCCAAGAGCAGGCACACCAGGAGTCACAGAACAACTGTTGCACCTTCTAACACAAAGAATTCCTCGGTTGGGTCTTCAGAGGAAGAGTCAAAAAGCCATATTCCAGGGGGCGAGATGGGTCGAAAATGTTCTTCGGAATCAGGTTTGGTGCAGAAAGCTACTGCAGAGAATGCCTTTGAGGAGGACCTGAACTACGGGCTGCGCAGGTGGAACGGCAGGAGGCTCAGGACCTACGGGAAGGCCCCATTCGGCAAGACCAAAGTGCTGCGGGAGGCGCGGGGAGCGGCCGTGGCGGAGGTGCAGCGGAAGAGGCCGCATCCTGAGCCCCCGCGCGGGCCGGCGGCTGGCGGCGGGGGCGCTTCCAAGCTGGGCGCCGACCCCGGGCCCAGGTCCGACTCCGAGTTGGCGTCTGGGACTGAATCAGATGTGGACTGTGCCGGTGACGCGAAAACCAAAAAGAGGAGAACGAGAGGAAACGCAAAAGCGACGAGAAAAGGGAAAGCTTGTGCAGCCGCCGCATCTAGAGGCGCGAGGCGGCAGAGACAGAGCAAGCGGCCAAGGCCGAGTGCGGACGACCACGACTGGGACGACCTGGACTACGCGCAGTCCAAGAGGGGCCTTCGACGCTCGAAAATAAAGACGAGGAATCAGGGCAGAAGGACCGTGAGGTACCACGATGGGGATGACGACAGAAGCTTGGAAAACGTGTTAGGTTTCGATGATTGCACCTTATGACCTTGAGAGCGCGCCGGTTCACGGAAGGAGGAAAGGAACTGGGATTGATGGTGAAAGTTGGCTGTTGAAATTATTTTTGTCCTACAATTCAGGGAATATATTTATATTTTTCTATGAAAAGTTATGAATGTGACTAAATCATGACTGTTATTTTTATTTGCACTTGCTTGCCTTTGTAGCAGCGCTCAGCACAGGTGCCAAAATATGCTTCATTTTGGGGGCAGATCTACTTTGACAGTATTTAACTACAGAGAGCAGGAATCTGAAATCTGTTCAACACTAGACATCCTGGTTGTCAGAACCGATAAGCATTACTTTCACGGTAGCAAGTGTCATGCAGTTACTTTCTGAACGTGTCAAGAGGTGGTAGTGTCTAACCCCTGTCCTGTTGTAGTCGAACAATTTCACGTGGCCTATGTTTACAGATTCTTCATAAATATTATGTGCATACTGACATTACAATCATGGGAGGGTAACCATGATGCGTAGGCGAGGTACCTACCACTCCCCCCCCCCCCCTTCCCCTGGCTACTTGAGCAAAATGCATTATACCAGATTTGGTCATTTTCATTGAAATGGTTTCTTTTCCAAATGCTGTTGGGTCTTTTCTCTCTTTTTCTTTATTTTTAAGGAAAATATCATCACTTTTATTTTATAAACTTGAATTTATAAAGTGCTGGTAAATTATTTTTTAAAATGTTTTGATTGTATATTTTAAACCTCTAAGGCCCCGACCATAGTCCTAGCATTTTCTTTTAAATTGTGCACTAACAGAATGCTGTATTATTTGTCTTTCCAAGATCTCCTGGTTTCTATGTAAGGGATTTAACCAAAATCTTGGTCTTCCATAGTCTTAACTCTGTGAAATAGAGGAGTTTGTGTGCCTTAGATTTAGGAAAAGTGTGTTCTTTAATAGAGTGTACAGGGCCAAGGGAGTATTTAAATTATATGTAGTTTCCCCCCATTTCCACTGAGATTGTAGAGTTGAGTTTTGTTAAGAGTGCAATCGCAGATCTCATCTATATAGGAAAATAGTTAAACGTCATTCTCCGTATCTTTGTTTTAGCTTACTGCTGCCATGTGCAATCCCAGGCATTCTTTGCGGGGGCAACTAAGTGTATCTTTACTAGTGACTTCTAGTTTAAATCTAAGAAACTGTCTTGTGTTGTGGGAAAATAATTTTGGAATCCATTTAAAGTGAAACTTCTATCACATCATCGAATACATCGAATAAGTACACTTATTTTCAAGCCAAATATTTTTGCTTGATAGGTTGTGCTACTCCATACAGTGTAGGTGGCCATTCCTAGCTTGTTTGTGCCTGAAGATGGACTTGATTCAAATGGTTTACATATTTTGTAGCGAAGGAGTATGTTACAGTACTCCCACCTTTGTTATTTATTGGCCCTGTGTTTGGTTCCAGACAAAATTAACCCTTTGCTCCTGTGTATCCTGAAGGTGGCAGGTGTGGAAAAAACATCAGACTCTGGTGTCAGTGTTAGGGAATGTTCTTAAGTGTTGTTACTTTTCAGTTATCTGTCCCATTTGACATGGTAGAAGGTACTTTGTACTCTGATACAAGGGGAAGGATATTTTTGGACATTACCAACCGAGATAGGTGGGCTAGACCTGCCCCTCCTTAGGTTGCTTAGAGAGCTTTCACCACTTTAGAACTATGATGCTCTTTTTATCAAAGTTCATGTTTAGTATCTAGTAGAGAAAGCAATTCAGGAGAATTATCCTTGACTATTGACCTGAAAACATTAATGGGATGTTCTTTACTTTCCTTGTTTTAAGCAGTGGTGATAGATGTCCTATCCATTAATTTATTTAAACTCTTCTAAAGCTTCTCTGTTTTATATCTATTCTCAGGGTTATAACTCCATGTTTACCATCATCTGCAAAAAGGTACCAAAAAAATCCATAAATACAAATACAGAATACGTTCATAAATACATAAATTCTCTTGGTAAAGTGAGACTTTGATCATTTAGGCTTCTTCATCAGTAGAACTGTTATCTTTTGGACTGAATTAACTGGTCATAGATTGGCTGGTCAACCAATTACTAATTTCTCTTTTTGTCCAAAATTGTTAGGCCTTTATGTATAAAAAGCAGTATTTTGGTTTCACCTGGGGAAAAAAAACGAATTTGGCCTCATGACTTGGAAGACGTGGTTGACAATGGTAGCTTCTCAAGTTCTGAAGTAAAACTAAGGGATTGTAGTGAGAATCATTTTTATGGGTTTTTTTGGTCATGGTGCTATTCCTAAGGTTAACTTTGAATATGTGACACACACTCCTAAGTACTTTAAGGAAAATTAATAAATAATTAATAGTTCAAAATGTTTACATTGAGCACTAGAACATGTTTGACTTTTTTTCTACTTCTCTTTATGCGAAATGCGCAGGGATTTAATGCACGATGTACTTTAATGTGTTTGGGATCAGTTTGTATTTACTTGTGAAAAAAGACAAAAGCTTGCAGATTGAATGTGAACTGATCCAGAAGTAAGTGCTATAGCTTTTCATTGCACTTGAAGTCACTTAATGGTGTATATGAACAACAAAAACTGCTGTGGTTGTGTATGTCCAAAGTCCAATGATTTTACTCATTTATGGTTGAAAAAAAGGGCTGAGGTATTTAGATTTGAGTTTTGATTCCTTTGCAAGACTATTAAGAAGAAAGATGTCACACATTTAAGAAATAGGTGAGGTTTAAAAACTTTTTTTTTTTTCATATCAGACTTAACTTTAAAAGGGTATACCGACAATGTGTAGTAACTTCTGAATAAAAGGGAAAGTGTATCCCATTTTCAGATAATTTTTAGGGCGGTCATTCTCCCTTTTTTAGGGGAAAATGTCTGATTAAATCGTTTCTCAATTTAGTAATTATTTGGAAATAACGATAAAGCATTTACTCACAGCTTCTAAGTTACAACACAGAGGTTTCTTCTAAGTAGTAGAGAGTTGTACCTAAAAAGCAAATTAATTTTATAATACGAAAATGGGGAGAAAGAACTTATGTTTGGGGAAAAGGCACTTCAAAACCTAGAATTGCAAATGAAAAAGGAGGTATGAAACAAGCCAATAAAAATGCCATCTTGAAGGTATTACCGTCCAAAAATAACAATAAGACTTGCCACTAAATCTTCACACTCCATTGGTTGCTGACATCTTAGGTAACAGTTCTTAGACCAGCCTTGGGTTCATACTACATTCCCTCCCCCTCTTCTAGCCTTTTTTTCTTTAGAATAATCAGAAGACAGTTTGTTGATTTCAGTGTATCATTTTAAAAACTACACAGAAAAGGACTTCAATCTCTCGTCAGTGCACATTGAATTTGATTGTGCCCCCTGAAAAAAATGAGAGGTTGTGTATCAGAATGCAAGAACATTGTTCAAGGTGCTGACAGTAATGTTTTCCTTTCTACTCAGTTGTATTGGTTTTTTTGAGTAACTTTTAAATGGCTAGAACAGGTCTGTTTGACTTGCCCTTTATAGCTGAAATACCAGCTCCGTCCTTTTCATCCATGTTAAGTCAGCATGTTTCCTTTATTCGGCATCTCGGAGTTGTCCACAAACACTTCAGTGTCTTACGTTGTATGGAAACTGTAGTTGAGTTATTTTCTGGTGTGATGTAGTGCGACACAGCACCCTCACTGCGGGAGAATTCTCCGTTATTATGTAAGTCCATCTCTCAACTTCTGCTGTGGGTAACAGGATGTAATAAAGCAGAAACTGTAAGAAACTTGCAACGTCACTGTTTAAAGACTGTCTGATTCTACTATTTGGGAACAAAGACCAAACCAAGTAAAATTTGTCAACGCTAGGGAGAAAATGGAACATTGTGGGAAAAATCTAGTCCAACAACTAGATTAGCAAGTGCTAATACCACTTGGTAGCTCAAAAGTTGTGAATTAATGGAGAGGATTAAAGTGTAAAGACAATAATGGTGAGGGCTGTGTTGTCTTTTCTCACTTTTTAATTTTTTTGTAGCTATTTTCTTAAATTATAGATGTTGCTGAAGGGTACGTGGGAATTCTCAAAGTTGGGGAGATTTTTACTAGTCACTAATAATCTGCCAAGCTGGTTCCTTAATACATTGTGAATTTGGTGGAAAAATATCAAGACTTTCACTTGGTGTCTCCTTAAGGATTGCTTGTATGGATCTGATGTAGGGAGGTTGGATGGGGACAATTACAACATTGGGGTCTTACAGATCTGCAGGCTCTGTCTTTGGTAGCATGTAAGTAACTATAGCGTATATATCTATTTGTCACGACTGAGCGTTTCATTGAATTATCAGTGTTTGAGCATATTTTCTGGTCATGCTTTAGTTTTTAAGGTAAGTTTTGTCATTTATTAAAACCTTTAATGGAATTTGAACTCCTGAAGAGGCATTCTGACTGACCTAACTGAAATGAGATGACCAGTTACAGTTTGCATGGATTGGAGCAGCCAGCTGGGCTACAGGAATATTATTTAGAAGTTATTACCTTTTTTGATCTGTGGTTAAATGTTAAAACAATCCTTCATTTTTAATATATTGAAGGTAATTTTCTAGGTGTTGATCCATACTTAGTCCTCAGACCGGATGCACACATTCAGTTCACCTGTGAAATTCTAACCATTTCACTGGAGCCGGACAAAAAGGCAAATCTTTAATTTTCCACTCCCACACAAGATCTCTCAAACTTTTCCAAATTAACTCATTACCACATCTCACGACTCTCAGTTGTCATCTAGGAACCAATTTTAATTTACTTTTTTAAGTCAATTACTAACTAAAATAGAGTATAATAAATTTAATGTTGTTATCCTAACATTTTTTTTTAAACTACTTCAAGCCTAGCTGATAATTCTATAAGGTCTGCAATAGGCAGTCGATTTCCCTTGCAACTCATCTTTACTCTTAAAACAGCTCATTTTTCTCTCTCAAACCACTGTGCATTTGTGATTTCTTTCTCATGCAGGCAGAATGCAGGGCCACACCCTGGTCC